GACAGCGAAGCCTTGACAGTGATGACCTTGATGGTAAAGATATTTCCAACGTCACAGTGCCCATTGGTCTTTCAATCATGATAATGACAACATATATCCTCATTGGAGCGATTGTATTTTGCATTTGGGAAGATCCAAACTATCTGAAATGGTCATATTTCTGTTTTGTAACTCTATCGACGATCGGCTTCGGCGATATTGTTCCAGGTATGCCTGAGTTAACATATCATTGATAAATATTGCAAAGAATGCATTTACCTATGCCTGAGTGCAAAGGAGGTTTAAAGGTCAACTGCAAGTTGGGAGGCACAGCTACGCGAATTTTACCTTACACAAAGTATTGTTTAGGCTATTCTGAAACGTAGCTATTGAATGTGTGACATTGCAAAACGACGAGTGGAAAGCTGGATGGCTGAGTAGTCAAGATATGGTGAGATTTGATCGGGGTGGGCAATGAAATGGGCAGCAAACTGTCCAGGTAACGAAAAGCAATCAACGCTTCGGAGGCAGAGTCAATTCCAAGGATGGCTGGTTATTTAATGGTAGAAGTGATACAGACTTTAGTTTTTGGTAATTCCTCCTTATTCACTCAATTTACAGTGAAGTACATGCAGCGCATAATCCTCCATGAAATGCGATCGGCTAAATGACTTCAAAATACAGTGAGGCAAATTATAAGCATCCACATGCACTAGACCACATCAAAATATGAAGTCTCCAAAATTAGGCGTTGAACATCAGATCCAAATTTTAACCTGCGATTCGTTCTATTAACTCAGCAGTGAAGCAAAGCGAATGCCACTCGTGGGTTGGGAGAATCTGAGGCATGTGTAAATAGGTTACTTGGAGCCTCCTCTTTATGAATTCACAACAGATGAGGCACTGAGTTGCGATTTTGGCTTGCTAAAAGGGGAATACAAAACCCTATTGCAGAAAATTGAAGAAACTTATGCCGAATATGTGGCAAACGATTTGGTCTTGAGCGTTAATTAATTATGCAGTACTAGTTGTCTAATTATTACAGATAGGTACCTGTCCCTGTATACTTAGCGATCTTACCGCTCAATTAAATGATTCACTTTCATTTTTTTAATATTTACTTTATCGCCAACCACTTTCTAACACTGATTGGTCCACTGCCTGAATAGCGTCAAATCTGCTTTGTGATGAATGTAATAGTTGTGACATTTGCCTGCAGGTACCAAGATTGATTCGACCAATCCCCAAGAAAAGCTCATCATCATCACCGTGTACGTAGCAGTGGGACTCTCCGTATTTGCTATGTGCTTCAAGTTGATGCAAGAGGAAGTAGTCTCAAAATGCAAATGGTTGGCCCGCTACATCGGAGTCCTCAAACGGAAAGTGCGCAAACATCGCATAGAACGGCCTCAACAGCTCGGTATGGACTCCCGGCAGAAGGATGGAGTCGGTAACGAGGGGCTTTCGCCTTCCTAGACTAACGTGCATGTGATTTTTCGGTGTTGTAAAATTTGGATAAAAAACTTTTCTTCCATCTGAAACCAACACGGGAATCCGCTTCATCCGAAACATGCACTCAAACGACTGTAGTTCCACCTTACCAAGAATTCAATCTTGATGCGATTCTGTGGACATTACTTCTCCACTTTCACGAGAGATTCAAAGAAACATGAGGAATTACTGAACATGTAGTTGTCTCTATCCAAATCAGGTCGTGTGGCTTTGTGCAATTTTTCTTGCAAAGGAGAGGTAGCCATGAGTACATTTTCTTTCATTTTTTATTAACAAATGTGGAGAGCATTTGATCTGGGCGCGAAAATTGTGTATCCCACCCACATCGTGCAATGGTATTTTCACCAATATGTTCACCAACTATCATTTTATTACATAAGTTGAAGCACTGGCTGCGAAACCACTGCGACCTCATCCTCACAAGACACACTCAGCAATTAAGCCTTACCTCTTCTAGCCATCACATTCAGTGTTAGTGAAATTATCAACATTTTAGCGCCCACGAAAACCGCGCTTTGTTGTGCTGGTGGAAACAGCCATCGATGCAACAGTTAAACCGCCACGTTCATTTGGCACCTCATCCGTGTGACGGACGTGTGGCTGCAAGGGCTAATATTATCAATTTCAGTAATTGTAAAATAATGGCACATTTTTGACAACAAAACTACCACAGATCGGGTTTCGCAGCTGAAGCATTAACTTTATTGAGGTCTTTTTCCTCAATACTTAACTCTGCCAGCGCACTTTGCTGCGCGCAAATGGCCGTCGACGTTGAGCTACCGGTTCAACGAAGCAACCCCAGTGAAAACACTTCCTCAATTTCCAGGTTCCAAAGTGTAGCCATTGTCTGCATCATGATGCGATGTAAAAGTAAATAGAATTCCCAAATCCTGGCTGTATTTATTTCCGCTCATGGTGTTTTTCAATTCCACCATTTCATTCGCCAGCTTTTTCCCAAACTCCAGGATTGGCATCTGCAGTAGCAGACAAAATGAATGACAGAATTTTTTTCCTTCAAAATATTTAAAAGCAGGCAATGATAATTGCGAGCGAATTGTTCTTAATTTCGCCAGTTGAGATAGGCTTGACTCTATCACCGGTTTCACTTAATCATTCCCAAACATTCTGGTGTTACAAGGCACTGCATAAATGGATCGAGTTTGGAGAGATCAGAAATACATGCAGTGCGCATTTGTTTTTTATGTTGTAAGTAGATTATGTTGTTAAGCACTTGATAGGTTTTTCGTGCCGAGGATGGTGCTATTGGTGAAAAAATTCGGGATGGCAATATGCATGATCCCAGCCCTTGCTGAAACGCATCTCAAAACCGAAATATCCATAAAACTGGTCTTCTGCACATTTAAGCGATTGAGAAGATAACAAGTCTTTTTTGGAACAGTTTAGGATGCTTTTGATTGATAAGAAATGGAACAATAAAACCATTTATTAGTATGCCTTAGTATATTGGCACTAGATGGATGGCCGTTAGCACAATAACTCGGTGGGCATGAAATATTCTAAAGCTCCCGCGCCATCACTCATTTTCTTGTTGCTTCTGAATTGGGCTGCAAAAATTTCCTTTATGTTATCAAATTTCGTTACTTCCAAGGAAAAGGTACTGATTTACCATTCACACGAAAATCCGAAAAAGTTTGCCGAAGTAAAAGAATTCCACGATTCTTACTACTGTGGTTGTTGTGTTATCAGGAACATAAAACGAGTGAGTAGTGGGTGTTGTAGCAGTTTCCCTTTCACAAACATTTTAACTTGTAGCACATGAGTAGGGACGTCACTCTTGAAGCACAAACCGTCATTGTGGCAGACTTGTTTCCTCCAATCACCTCAACTATACTAGCCGGTAATGCATCAGTTCCCACTGAAGTGCACCTCCCCTTCACACAGGGACTTCCAAACGGTAGCATTACCGCTGGTTAGCTGGCCTTTTCTGTCGCCCTTTTTGCTGCACTGTTTCGACTGCTGCTGCTGCTGCTGCTGCTCATCACACAGCTGCACAGTTTAACAGCTGCCGCTCAGATCAAATATAACTAGCTGTTTACAGCGGAGCAGTTAGTAATAAATTAAATGGTGAACACTAGAAAAGTTTGCATGAAGCCTGCACTTCCTCATTATCGGCAAGGGTATTCCGACATTCTTCCCACCATGCTTCGAGCACTTCATTCCAGCATGACAGCTTGTGTGCATTATTGTCATCAATCATTCGGTCGTCATTAGAATCGCGCCTACCTGAATGTCATCGAGCGGTTGCTTTGCTAGAAAAGACCGTATCCGTTGCACAATGTAAGCTGAACTTCATCAGATTCAACGTTTCTTTATGGAAATAATAGTCAAATTACAGGGAGAAATTGCTTAAATTCGGTGCCTATTGTTTAAAAAGTTTTATTTGGTCGACATCATCCATTAAACTTTCCACGTCATAACAATTACCTGGAATTTCATAATGTAGGCAATGAGAAAAATAGTCTATATTAGTCGTTTTCAGTCTTAAATAGCTTGATTTCCTCATAAATAACAGTACTAACAGTACTAACTTACAGATATACTTTAACCACTATTCTCTATTTTAAATAAGGGTGAACGAAATTTTTAAAATGACATCATTATAGCCCCCCCGAGGCTACCTTGAAGATGAACTAAGAAGAATTACTTAAGCAGAATATACATATTTGAAATACCGAAGCGATTGGGGCTACTGACACAGCCAAGAGACAAACCTACATGGCGCCGGTATAATACAGGAGCACCTAAGCGGTCCCTTCACCGAAACGTATTAGATGTTCAACTCCAGTGTAATGTTTTCTTCCGTCTTCAGGGAAGTCACAAGGAGCTGCATCAATGAATCACCATAAGCAAGGGGAGCATAAGCCGTGAAGGATGAAAAGCATATTAACTTACAAAGTGTTGCCTGCAGATACTTATTCGTCTTTAAGTAAAATATTGGTCAGCGTTATGCAGAATAATTTATTCGAGCACTTCCCTTAGACATTAATGCAGCCTTCGTTGATTGCACTCTTATTATGGTGTGGTTAAAAATTTTGTTAATTTAGACTTGATAACTATAAATGAGTGGAGTTTAACACCAGGGTTTTGCAAAGGTCTTTATCATTATGCGTAACAATCCCAATATTTAGAGTCAAAATTCTAAGGATTTTTTAAGCGCATAATCGTAGTATTGTAATTTTTACCGTCCCAATCAGCTGTAGTTTTTTGCTTTAAAAACTATTCGACATTGTTTAAGTAATTATCTGCAGGAGGACCTACTTTGAGTTCTGATGTGCAACTATATCTGCGGTGTGGAGGGGTTAGTCGGGTTTCTGGTCATTAGAAATTCAAATTATTGCTAAATCTTGGTATAACCTTCTAGAAAGTCCGTTTAAAGTCTACTGGTTGCTCTACCTCTATATTTTCTGGTCTGGATCTTGGCAATATATTATTCATTTATTTCCTTAACTGCTTTCTAGCGTGATTTGGCTTTTGTAGTCATATTTCTCATTTTCACTACTTGCGACATATTGTCTTTAATGGCGAGTCATAGAGTTGCTTTGGCGGGCGTTAATCATTACCTTTGTTCTACCACGTTTGTTCCCAATGATTTTTCCGATTAGAGGTTCGACGTTTACTGAAGTTGTTATCCTTTCAGTGGATGGGAAGGAGTGTTCGAAAGTCGTTGGACCACATGTTAATCATTGGGTATGCGAGTGCGTTTGTTGTACATATGTTACAAACTATTTTACGCTATGCAGACTTTGGGAGTTGAAACTGCTGTGGAGCGTGCACTTGGTCTCATCGACTTGGCATTGAACAAAGCTAATCTACCTTCCAATACCAAATTTCTTTCAATCGTAGGTTTATTGTGTCCATGGATAGACTCATTGTTTGAACATCGTAAAAATCTACATGATCTCATTGGATGTTCATCTGTGCAATTTTTTATATAAATTTAACAAAGGCCACATGATTTTAAATAAGTTGTGTAAATGTAACTTCTTGGTGCTTTTTTCTATATTGTGTCTTGGAGTAGCTTGGTTCTGGTACTGCATATCAATTAATGATGTAGTGCGTATCACGCAAAATGTTCCCATAGGGTCTAGCACTGAGTGGCGTTGATTCGAAGGAAAATTCCCGTGATATTGAGAATGAAATTCGAAGAACAAGGCCCAATCTCACCGAGCATATTTATGCCTGTAATGATTGTCAGGGGACTTTATTTTCCGCAACCGAAAAAGGTGAGGTTTAAACGGGTAGATTTTTTTTTTAATTATCGTGCTGCTGTTTGATTTATGGCTTGCCAATGGCCAACTGCGACGTAGTGGTAGTTTAAACCGCGTGCTGAATACGATTTCCCGATGGGTGGTAATTTTACTGGCGCGGTTGACTATTGCTTACAAAATAGCTGTTTAGTATTTTGCATTAGTTTTTACCGAGAATCATCCACAGATTGTAATTACTAAAACCTTATTAGGGTTTGTCCCGTTGCTAGTCTCCTTCTTCCTTGAAGTAGTGCTTTGAATTTGGTCTTGTTATTTCGCCTTTTTAAATTTGTTTTGAGTGCTCCTTAATGACGAAATTTATGTGGTCGAGATTGCTCTCTTATACCACAAGTAATTTTTAGCATTCCCCCAATCTTATAAAGTTCGTCAAAGGATAATTTCAAGGACGTATCTGTTTTACATCATATATGGATATTATATGAACCCAAATGTGACATTTTAACCATGCATCTTGAATGTAACCTCGCGTCTTCCGTAAACGTTTTTCGCATACACTGATACTTGAGTCGCCTTTAATTTATTGAACTTTTGTTTCATTATTCTTTTGACTTGAGTTTTGGAAATCTCTTCTAAAGTGGAATTAGCATGCACTCTTCTATTGGATGGATAATCGCTTCCAGTATCCTCATGTCTCATACTGCACTCTACAGCAGTTAGTTCGCATTTACTTTAAATAGCAAAAATATTGCGTTTTGTTTTTTCCCCTTCGCTAGGTGGAATTGTGCTCATAGCAGGTACGGGTTCAAATTGCAAACTTATTAATGAGGATTTTTCGTCTTATGGCGTTGGAGGCTACGGCCACATGCTTGGTGACGAGGGCTCTGGTGAGTCCTTTATTTTCTATTTTATTCATTCCTTATATTTCTGGAAATCCGCTCATGGTGTCACCAGGTGAATAGTGTTAATCTCTACGATTATGCTTTTTTTTGCAAATGGTAATTGAATTTAACTCTGGATATTACAATTTACGGGATCGCTTAATGCTAGCTTACGATTAATCACCGTTTCCGAAACTTCCTAAACAATTACGCATTTGCTCTTGTGCGAGAATTTTCCAAATGTGACTATTGTATAATTTATTTTGCTGTTTAATGATTGGCTATAAAGCATCGATATATCTGTTTCCTCGATTGCCAGCTTTCTGGATTACTCATCGTGCAATTAAAACCTACTTGGATAATGATGAAGGACTTGTCCTTACATCACACGATACTTCTTCGGTGAAGAGGGCGATCTTTGACTACTTCGGTTTGCAAAATAATGTAGATCTTCTTGAGCCGCATTACCACTTTGAAAAGAGTTATTACTCTGGACTATGCAAGAAATTGGCAGAGCGTAAGGTTTCAGCTTCTGCGAGGTATGTTTTTGGCGAGTCAAAGTGTATCACTTTTGTGCCCTACAGTTGCTCGCTCTGGAGACGCCTTGTGCCAACATATCTTCTATGAGGCGGGTTTCTTTTTGGCTGCACATGTTATGGCCGTCCTTCAAAAGGCAGATCCCGTATGTTTTGCACAACATTATTTGTACAAAAACAGATATTGCCAATGGCTTTTGTAATTGTAAATAAGCGTCAATATTGGAAAGAGATTGAAAAGTCTTTCAAATTATTATTTCATTGACTTTAAAACGCTGCATTTATCTAGGCTAATAATGGAGATTACTTTATACATGTTATTTTTCTCCTTAAACATGACATAAATCATATAGTTATTTCGAGAACTGGAGGAACCAGGTGTTCTGATATTTATTTCCTGAAGATAAACTACTTTCATCGCTCACAGTGATTTCCGTGGAGTCTGTGTTTTTAGCAATGGAGAATGAAACCTGAGGGCGTCAATGTTGTGTGCAGAGGAGGTGTATTTCACAGTTGGGATCTTCTAGAGTGTGGTGAGTTTTTTGACACTCCATATACATTTGTCAAACTTAAAACCTTAATTCATAGCTTATTTAGTTGTAAATAACTTGCGGTTAGATCATTTTTCGTTGGTGGAATGAATGCGCATTCTGATAAATGTGTACCTTTGAGTTATAGCACTGATGATGCTAGTGATGTTTGGCACCAAGATTGTGCTTATCCTTTATCAGTGTGAGCTGCAGACTATTCGATTTGAGAAAAGAAACCCCTTTAGCATTGCATGTTCGTAAACTCTACTTACCGTATTCCCGTTGGTGGTGGCTCGCACTTTCAGCTGACCACATCACCCCTGCATCGATGGTTTATGACAACTTTTAAGGGAGTAGCTGATTCTATAAAAGTTCACCCCCTTGGAGTCATCTGTGACATTTCCGAGCTAATTTCCTATGGCCTTTCATACCATCTTCACCCTTCAGGATTCCGGGACCGTGTCGTGCCGGACATAAAAACCAAAAAAATCGTCGCCTCTCTCCGTCTTATCTTGCTCACGTCCTCGGTGGCTGCTGGAGCGGCGCTGCTCGCAGCCCATGTCAAATTACACCTCAGCATTCCACGGAACCAAACCCAACAACTCCTGGTCGAATTTCACCCCTGATTTTCTACTAGTCGCTTCTTCTAACTTATGCTAATAATTTTCCATAATTAGGCACTTTAAAGGGATAAGTCTATTATGCTAAGGAAATAAAGAGTTTTGCCTTCTTTGTGTTTTTGTAGATTTTTTAACCCTACGTTCCCATCAACTACGGTCATTCATCGAGGTTAGTTACACATCGCCCACGAATAACTGGACCCACGACCTTGTGAATGCGTGTAACTGATGGTTTGTGAAGCAGCTGAATTACTTGCACAGTTAATGCCTTGAGAAGAATGCGATTACACTTTCTGGTGAATTCTATTTATGCGCACACTTACGCACGCTGTTACGTGGGGCATGGTTACCCTTTCACCTTGCGGCCTGATAGCTAGCTCCAAGTGAGGTGAAGGCAAAGCTCAACTTATTAGCATAAAAAGGGTTCTCAGGGCTGTCTGTAATGTCTCTCAGCGTATTTCCTGCCTAGTTGCGAGAAATCGTTCAGCAAATTTCGAGGAGTCCATTGAGACCATTAAAGAAGGGATCGAAAACACGGTATAAAATGAGGATTGAGTTGGTTTCATTATGGCACGGTTTTTCAGTGTTTTCATACCTGCGGTTTTGTACATTCACCTAAATTAGATTTGCGAGCTACTGCACTAGTCTGCGAGTTTGAACTCAAAGGGACCTTTGGCGACGGCGCTGAACCAGGCCTGACGTGTCGCGGACCCTTGGGAACCTTCAGTCTTCCGTCGAGCACATCTCGAACCTGGTCGCTGCTGAGCGTCTCATAAAAGAGCAACGCCTCCGCCAGGATTTGGTGCTCCTCGCGATGCTTGGTGAGTGTTTCACGGGCGCGGGCTAGGGAAGCATTGAGTAGATCGTCCACCTCGCCGTCGATGGCATTGCGCGTCGCTTGACTCAGTTGACTGCCATCTTGGTGGGAGTTGACAAATACCCGGGGGCCCAGTCTCTTCGACAAGCCAAAACGGCTCACCATATTCTCAGCAATCGCAGTTGCCTTCTATCAAATCGAACATTACGTGACTAGTCAGTTAACCGAGTACCAACAATGACGCTCCATGAATAAATAGACTTGGCTATTCAAAGGAATTATTTCGTACTAGCATTAAATCGGGAACCTAAATTCATTAACTTGAATGCTTTCGAAATATCGTAGACACAAAGCGCTTTCGCCAACAACGATCAGCTACTGATCAGCGGAAGAATTAAATCCAGCTGACCATGAAATGATCAAATGTGAAGAGGGCAGAACATGACTCCAGTAATAGTGTCTAGTTAATAAAATAAATTTCTGCACAACACCTTAAAATCGTCTCCAGCACCAGTTGTCACGTGGTCCGGTCCAAAAGCCACCTCTTCACCAACACGACCCCCCATGAGAACGTCCAACTGAGCAATTAGTTGAGAACGCGTCCAAAAGCTCGAATCCTTATCTTGAAGAAAGCTAGTGTGTCCGCCAGACTCGCCACGTGGGATGATGGTCACCTGAATGGTTAAATTAAGCGATAATAATAAATGCTACGAATAGCACCAGTGTTGAAAGAAGGGGGGGCGATACTCCTCTCACTTTGTGCAGAGGGATGCTGTCGTTGGTGTAGAGCGTCATGAGAGCATGACCAGCCTCGTGGTAGGCGGAGACTCTGTTGCTCTCATCATCCAGTGGTCGACGCTTAGCGGGCCCCATCAACAAGCGGTCGCGCGCATCCCAGAGATGGGCCATGGTCACCTCTTTCTCCTCCCTTAGGCCAGCTGTAATTGCAGCCTGATTAACGAGGTTCTGGATATCGGCTCCGGTGTAGCCTACTGTACCCAGAGCAAGTTTATCCACGTCCACTTCAGCCGCTGCCCTGACTTTCGATAGGTAAAGCCGGAAAAGAGCTATTCGACCCTTTAAGGAAAAATCGGTATTTATTAGAAGCCTTTAAGGTCGTCCATTAAGTATAACTTTCCACACTTTTACTAGTGGAGGCCGGTAATATGATTTTGAAGTATCCACATTTCGAATTAGTATCCGCAACAGGGTAGGTGCTAGGTACTGAGGTGCTGTGAAACACCATTAGCTATCTAAATGCCTTCCATGTTCCATTTGCAAGTTATATTACCAGAATCCCAAATAAATTTCAACTTGATCAAAATCATTAATGCTTTCACGATACGCAGGTCAAAAGAAAAAGTGCTTTTAAATGGGGAAAACCATTCAACACATATCCAATAATGGTTCTTCCGATAGAATTACGACAGTAAAAAGTCCTAGTGGTGAAGTTATGTTGAAGCATTTTATAACAGGGTAAAAGTCGGATTTGATACGAAACTGGAAATTAGTACTACCATGAAGCAGCTTGATTTTCATAAATTTACGACATTCAAGTGCGACTAAAAACATCTACCTTTCATCTCACGAGACATTCGCCGGAACATTAGTGAGGCAACCCGCTCAAACCCACGATGAAAAACTTGTCCGACTTTCCTTGACATTTTAAAAGAATACTCTGCCTCTATGTCGGATATTAGGAGGGTAATCAAGAGGAAAAGTCACTGAGCACATGAATGGATTAAAGTATCGACACTGAAGACTAGCTTTAGTGTGATTTGGCAGTAAATCGTACACACATTTTGTACGTGATCCGAGAGCACGAATACAGATCATCTAATATAAACGCAAGTTTACCTCGAAGCTGGGCGGTGATACATAAACCTGGAAATCGAAGCGACCAGGTCTCAAGAGTGCCTTGTCGAGGTCATCACGTTGGTTCGTAGCTCCAAGAACAATTATCCCTTCAGATGGTTCGAAGCCATCCATTTCCGCGAGTAATTGGTTGATGGTCTGATTGGCGTAGGGATGGAGGGGGGAAGACGACCGAAACCGACCGACTGAATCGATCTCATCAATGAAGATGAGACACGGAGCGTGTTCCTTGGCCGCAGCAAACAACTGCCGTACGCGAGAAGCGCCCATTCCAACAAACATTTCCTCAAAATTACTTCCTGACACATAAAGAAATGGAACCTGTAAGGAAGAATTTTAACGTTATAGGCAATCGTAAAGTGAGAAAGTATGGTTCTTCAGGTGTGAAAATCCCACCTGCGTGCAAAAACAGCATATAACTAACCAATAACTTAAGAGAAAAATGTGAAAAATTTTCCTTCTAGGTGACTCCAAAAGAGATTTAACGGTCAATGCACCGCCTAGGTTTTCAATTATGGAAGTAGAAAACTTCTAATGGAGAGCATACCTGAGCTTCACCTGCAACAGCCCGAGCAAGAAGAGTTTTCCCCACCCCTGGGGGACCGACTAAAAGTACGCCCTTAGGCAGCTTTGCCCCAAGTTTACTGAACTTTTCTGGATTACGCAAGAATTCAACAATATCCTCAAGCTCCTTCTTCACCTCGTCGCACTAAGAAAGATCAAGCAAGTGCATAGTGAGTGCAAGAATAAAATTTCAGTGAGTTCGAAATTTCTCTATATCATCGGCTAATAATGTAGGGGAAATACCAGTAAAACTTACACCTTGGACATCAGAAAATCGTACATCAACATTATCCGCAAAGGACGCTACAGTTGAATCAAATATTTTTGAAAAACCTCCGCCGAGACCACGCTCAGGGGATCTTATTAAAAAAAGCACCAATGCAGCTCCCAAGCCAATCGTTATCACCCTTATTATTAAAGTCGAGATGGACTGGAATGCGCTGATCTTCTTTTGGTTATTTGTAGTGGCCTGGACACCACGCCTGTAGGCTTCAACAAGTTGCAGCTGCACCACTGGAGTGTACCCCTTGAGCATATCCTTCAGATCGTCTTGCGCAACAAGTTTTTTTGATGAAATCCTAGGTTCAGGAGAACCGAAGACGCCGTGGCTGAATGTACCTTTATCACTTCGTCTACCGAAAAATTTGGCACGTGGAATTTGCACGATGGAGAGTTTTGAAATAATTTTATAAAGTCGGTGGGAAAACAGATCATTGTGAAAGTACCGTTCGCTTAATTGCGGGGCGCATGCAAAACTCGTTGCATTTAAGAAACGACTGAACATATCTGCCAAAAGTGAAACAGCACGGATAAAGGGTAAGCGTAAAAAATCTTGGATGCATTTACGAAGCAATACTGGCTTTGATTGGTAATAAATATGCGGGCCAAGTTGCTTGCTCTAAGTCTACGGAATAAGTCGGTAACAAAAAACAAGAGCTAACAATGATAAATTCACATTATTGGTACGTGAAGATTGACATTGCCAAGTTTAAAGTAGCATAGAGAAAGCATAGTCCCCCCATACCTCAATAAATGCACAACTACTTCGTCAACACATACGACCTTCGCCTATATTTAGGGACCGAAATAAATTTTAATGGCTAAGTAATGAAATCACTGCAGTTCACATAAGTACTCTAAAAAGCAACGGAGGTAGGAACCAGTAAACGAAGCAGTCAGACCCATTCAAATGCCCTGGTTTTGGATCTTGATTAGTAGTATTAAAAAGCACAAAACCATGACAATTACTGCCTATGCAAGACAACCCATTTAGACCTGCTGGTTTTGTGATTAAACAGTTAAGTAATAATTTGATTAGAATACTTTAACTCATAATTAAATGTGTAAGTTTTGTGGCGCGATTACAAATAAAGAACCTTACCTTTTTCTGTCTTCTTAACTGTACATGTACTTGTATGTTTTGCCTTTGTTGTTTGGCCTGTTTTTTAGTTTTGGCGAATTCCTTTGCAATTCTAGATGGCCCGAGTTTAAATGGGTCAATCTTACAAAAGTGCTGTTTCGGCGGCTCAGGCCTTTTTGACGTCACTACTCACTTTTGCCATTTGCTTTCTGCAGAGGTGGGCTTTGATGCCTTAAGTATTGTGAAATAATGCCTAGATTTGCCGTCACTTCCCTTAGGGGTGAATATGCACCCACTTACAAACTTTCTCTTATTTGGCTATAGCATTTGATGAGATGTGTTGTTTGTTAAATGCCACTACTTGTATCTTCAATTTGTTATCATAGCCTCATTTGTCTCGCCTTCCATTTAGGTAAATTTTGAGCTTTCTTACTTGTCATAGGTCTTTCTGGATCGCCTTTTTTTGGCTATGGAACCAAATGTTTCCTCAAAACGTTTGCTCAATGATATGCGTTCGACTGCTTTGGAGCTTCAAAAACTCCTTTTGGCGTCTCTCACCAATGCTTCTAGTGTCTTCTATCTCGATTCTTTCATTGATTACATTCCATCTCCTGCGTTAACAAATTCAAATTCAATTACGTCACTAACAGGAGAAATTGGGTTGCTAAATATGGGTGCTAAGGAGTCTTCCCGTTCCACACAGTATCAGGCAATTGATCTTTGGACATACGAAAGCCTTGTTCAATATTCAATTCTGCAGTCGGCTTGTAGTGTTGCTGAAGTTGTCACTTGTGATGCCGCGGCGGTTGCCTCGAGCTGTCGGGGATTGGTTATTGCCCTGAAAAAGCTACTTAACTTATTAAGTATAGAGGATCTGACGAAGCTTTCCGGTGAATATTTTAGGGCTAATGAAGAAAATACAATGCTTCGTGCACAGAATGGCTCGGTAGGGCGCATTGTGGCGGATGAAATGTTTGCACAGCCTTTCAGAACTGGAGGAAAGCCGAAGTGTTCCGATCTCAATCGAACAGATGTTTTTGAGATTGTGGAGAAAATATGCGAGCAAGCTGAGGATGAAAGACAAATTCTTGAAACTGAGCTTCGCAATGCACGGTATGATCTGGATCGAGCACGAGGTGGTTTTTTCTTGGGAATAATATGCTTACCACAACTTTCTACTCCTTTATATACTTCTCATACATCTTGACTCTTTCCGTTGATTCCTTCGCCTTGAGTTTGCCAAATACTTGGTTTGTTTGGTCTTATTATTAAGAATAACTTTCACATGACGATATCACTAACATTGATATAATGCTTTTAAATTTGTTTTCCTTGTCATACGTGCTCGTGCATCTATTCTTAGCTTTTGTTGCAAAATAATAGGTCCTTTCTTATTTGTACTCTTTCTTTGATTCCGTAGCCGTTTTTATTCGCTATTCTTAAGGCATTTTTACTATTTTTAGAATCTCACGAGGTTTCTGAAAAGACCATCTCTTACATTAAAACCCAGCTAGAATCAGAAAAGAGGCGTTACTCGTATTTGGAAGACTCTTCCTCTGATATTATTGGTAGGTGATAAGGGAGGGCTCCGTAAGTTTTTCTGTACACATGCTGCTATTTGCCTTATTTTGCAGCTGTCATCCGTGACATCGCAACGGAACTTGATTGCTTTGAACCGGCATCCGGTGGTCTTCGGATCGCACAGTCTCTTAAACGTCAAGTGATGGGGTTATTGTCAGTATGTCTCCGGAAAGGCGGTGTCTTTTATCTTTCTCTCTGATTGACAATTGTTTGTGATTAGGCTTTTCCATGGCTTCGATCGTGGAAAGGGATGGAGCAACTTCCCGTTGAGTCGTGTGGAGAGGTGAACCCTTATCACATTGTTCAGCTTAAGGTACTTAGTTTTCCTACAAAAGGATACTGTTATATCCTGCTATGTTATAATCGATGGATTTGATTTATGGGTTATTGAGTTATCTTACCAAATGCGCGATTGCAGATTTCGTGGCTTTGAGGTGGTCTGATTTCATTTTAGGAGATGGAACTTAAGGAAAAAGCTGGAGCGTTAGAGGCAGCCAGATCGTTCATCAATGATTTGGGTGTTGAACTGAAGGACGTAAAAGCAGACAGAGCGCGTCTTCGTGGGGAGTTGGAAAGGAAAAATCTCCTCATTCAGAAGGTCTTACCTCGTCTTTATATTTTATCAAATTCTAACTAGTGTTATCTATCCATTTCTTTCAAGCTACTGTCGGCTATTTGAAAAGCCCATTTTTGCACATTAGTTCTCCATGTTTCATTGTTTATTGTATTATTCCTGTTGAGTTTAGCTTCGAGAAGAGGGAGCTGAGAAAAGCATACAAATTGACCGATATCGAGCAACCTTTGATGCTCTTTTTGAACCGAATACCGCAGCCAAATTTGCGAAACAGGTTGCGGAACAATACAAACGGTACAAGAGCAAATCACCCATTCAACGTACAACGAAGTCAACGTGTTCTATTGATGCCGTCCCAACAGAGTCGTCTCAGCACATTTCCAGCTGCGGAGGTAAGGCTGCAATCGATCTAGTGGATAAAATTTCCTTTTAATCACTTAACCCGCAACTTCAATTTGAGGCAGTCGGGCGTATTTTAGAACGACACGTTCCCCATCATCCGAGTTGCCAACAATCTAGTATCGAAGTTGCCTCCTGCGCAGCCTTTACTCCCTTCCCCAAACCCCTTCTCCCTACAGAGGGGCCTTGTCGCGACAAAGAAAATTTCCCCGATGATATGGTAATGTTTTTCATGTTGTTATTAACGAAATGTTTGATCTATTTAGCTTTTGAAGGGTAAGTGCGGTCTTCGTCTCATATTTTCTCTCTTAGGCATCCAGGACGCTACACTTAACACAGTCAAACCTTGAACAGCGGGTTTATTTTAATTTTGGCACGGAGCAAGCCCTCAAGAAACCTCTAAACGCTTCCCCGATGACGACTGATTCAAAGCGCATCCGGTTGGCAAAGGTGGGAAATTTGGCGGACACCTGCCCACCGTTGACGAGTTTGTAATTGTGTGACCCCAGTTTCTCCGATTCACTAATTTATGAACTATCTAGGCCTCACACCTAGTTGAGTTCGTGTAGCTAGCTGCGTGTGCACACCGTTGCTGTCGAGTTGCCTCATTGTAGCTGTTGCTAAAAAAACTTCTAAACCCAATGGGGACAGTCTACATGGTAGTAGAAAATCTTTTCCACTTTAACCATAGGAATCTCCGAAAGCACTCCCTTTGCGCATCGTAAGCAACGGCTGGACAGGACAAACCCTCCTGCAAGCAAAATACTCGCATCTGAATCACCGCAGTCAGCGTTGCACCGAGTCTGTTCCAACGAGTAAACCGTCATCACCACATCCGTCCCTATCCTCTGCTGAAAAGCCCGATCCTGGTTGTCCCATATCTTAAGATGGTTTTAATGTAAATAAACGATTTCTCCCTATTCTCACTTTGACCGACAGGTCTTTGTTGTTAGAAGAGAGGTTTAAAGTAGGTTTGTCCGTTCCAAATCATCGTGCTTCGATGAACGTTCGCCGGCGTCTATTTCAGAAGACAACTACTTCGGCCAAATAAATAGGATTAGTAAACATGGACCATTCCGTAAATAAACGTCCAGCAAAGTATATAGGTCGTAATTTCACTGAATATGAGACCAGCGAAGAGGGTGTATCCGCTGGGAAAGTACTTTCGCCACTCCAGTCCAGTCTTGTGCAGGAGAAGGAGGGAGAGTACCATGCTTGCCATCAAGTAGAATAAGAACCCAATTATCCCTGTGAGTCCAAGGATGCCGGCTGCAACTCCAGCAACCGCTGCCAGTGCAGTTCGACAGTATCCGACCACGGTGGCGTTATGTTGAGTTGCAGCTGCACTGTAAGCTGCGGGGAGTTCAACGTTTCCTATTGTTTAGACAAAATTCACATCACCTGAATGACAATACGACGCAGGACAAAAGTAGCATCACTGAAAAAGCTCGTCCGTAACTTACCTACGCCACCGCTACCCATTGAAAGCTGTGGAGAACACAAGCTTCAAAAACGCACGACCATAAAAACAAACAACATCGGATCGCATAGCCCTATAAACAAAATGCACTATTGTAAGGCAATGGTAAAAAACACCTTTAAGCTTTTGAACACAAATGCAGATAAACTGAAATCAATTGTCAGAAGCCAAATAAAGATTTCATGCATATGCGATTCCACTTTTATGTAAAATCATTGTGCTTTTAATAAACAACTAATTTTAAAAATAAAATCCTAATGACTTTTTAATTTTGTTTAATTTTTGCCAAAGCTAGAATATACAATTGTTTTTCTTAAGCTATTATAAGCGGCACTCAAAAAACGGGCAATGTTTAACACCTTAAAAACTGTTTACTAGTAATATATTGACAAAATACTTAAGTCTAATGAACTACATTACTGATTACTTGTCTGGTTTTCTGCATGACTCTTTTGTACAGAATGGAATAATAAAAGGGTAAAAATGGACTAACACAATGCATTTTCTGCGTTCCGAAATATCACAAGAGCTGTTTGTTTACGTGCAGTTAATTGCGTTACTGCTGTATGCATGATGATGGGCCTAGTTAATTGGCTCCCGAAAATGTCTTCTCGCTGGAGTAGGTCGAATGGTGGTTTCCTTACCCGAGCTGTGTATAAGTTTCGCCGAAATGAGTCTCCGTTAATTGGCACTTCGGACTTTTCAGGTAGTGCTATCAATTGCAATCACTTTTTTCGTGGGCTAGGTGTATCAAGTAGATATCGCTTTCGTAAGAGGGGATACAAATCTCCCACATCATCGCGTTATCCGAGCAGGACCCCTGGAGGGGTCTTTGTTAGTAATCAAGTCGGCTCTACTGAAATCAGTACTGAAGATTGTTTGGAATCTACATCACTTCATCAACAATGTAATTACAGTTTTCGAACCCTTCACTTTACAGATGCTACCTTCACCGGGTCCGTACTGCTGTCAGATTCGTCACGTCATAATAGAAAATATATTTTCAGTACTCATCTCCCACCTTTCAGATCTAAGTATAAAATACACTACAAAAGGCCAACCATAATGCAAAAAGCGCGATGTAACAGTTCTTCGGTTAAAAGTAAACAAAGTCACAAAGCGTTTCGGCAAAGGTTGGGAAAATCGGTTGTCAGGACTATTTCTCCCTATAAGTGAGTATTTGTATGAATTGATGGCACAGACTGAGGGTAAAAAAGGCTATAGCGATGTTGCGCTATGAAAAACCGATTTGTTCATATTACGTGAAAACCGGTCGTTGCCGAAACGAGAAAAACTGCTGCTTCTCACATGATCCTGATTATCTCCGACTTTGTCCAAAGTAAGCCTTGCTTCTCCTGGTGCTTTCATATTAGCGTACTTTCCCTCGGACCCCAAATTTTAACATTCTACTTTATTTATTGACGTAGATTCCTTCAACACTCGTGTTTACTTGGTGAGCAAAAATGTCCTTTAGCTCATGTTCTTGATCCCTGTCGACTACCACAATGTGAATTCTTCGCTACCGGAAAATGTCACCGCGATGACTGTCCTTTTCTTCATGTAACATATCCTGAAAATACTCCTATGTGTCCTAAATTTATTCGTGGTCGATGTGAACAGGGAAGGGAGGTCTGTTTGTATTCGCAACTTTTTTCGTCGATTGACCCTAGCTCAATTGAGTATGGACTATTTCTTCCCTTTTAATCTAGTGTACAAAGCGCCATGTATGGAGATCACAAAAGAGATCCGAGCAGCTTGCAACGCAGAACACATCTTCTTCGAATGTTCCTAAAGCAAATGACGCCCCTGTTGCGAGGGCTCGTCGAGTGGAATCTCTTAGAGATGTTTATCCCGTACCTGACTTTATCCCCTTTATTCTTGATGACTAAGCAAAACCTAATTCCCTCTCTCTGTCCCATTACCGCACTTTCTCCGGCGCGACAGCAGGTATACACATCAAACTCAGGTAAGATAGGCAGCGACCTCGTGATGATTATTTATGATTTAGTTCTCTTTAAATGACAATATACGATTTAGTTTTTTATATCGTCACCGTTTTTATGCTACCGTCCCAATTGTCCTTGCCCTTGCTTTTTTGTTTATATAACGTCGCGTAAGAATATTTCTTTTTGTGGCAAAGGTTTTCTGTAGATGCAGATTAATAAGATTCAAGTGACTTACTCATTACATTCCCTTTCCGTTAGTAATAAAGACTTTTATAGCTCGCGCGTCCATTTAGTTTAGGCACATCTTGTGGAAAAAGGGGCTGATGTTTATCATAAAATCGTTTTGTTAGTTAAGGTTATAACTACCCAATCGTACAATACGCATCGTAAAATAAACACCGTAATTATTTGGCACCTATGGCTGAGGTTGTGCATTCCCGAAGTTGCTTGGTGCCAAAACGAGTAGATACGGGATTGAATGTATGGTGAGCTTCCTGGGAACCGTGGCACTTCTTGCCTTGAATTTGTTTGCAAAGGTATCCAAGCTTTACTCTGAATGTCGAGTAGGTGGCACTTTGCGTCATGCCGTACTCGAGTTGGAATCTCATGATGAAACAAGTTTACGTTGTTGCCAACATTCAGGCGGCCAGACTGCGTCTTTGCGCCTCCCAGTACTTCGAGTAATTACAATATGTCTTCATTGGCTGAGCTTCATTTTCATGAGAATGAATGGGAGGTTACGACAAGTTATTGGGGGCATGCGAGTCAAGACAGCTTCGCACTTGCTTCTTTGGGGCGTGATCCTTTGAAACTGTGTGCGTGGATGAGTGTGATAGGTGCCTCAGGTTACACTGTTCAATGTGATATCAAGGAATAAGCTGGGGCAGTGAATTTACCCCGTTCACTCTAGGAATAAATGCATCTAAGTTTCTAGCGCAGCAAAGTGCTATAAATTATACTTAATTGTGTTAGGTACTCATAGATAAGGCAGAATATGCACTAAATATTTTGGAAGAACTTGTTCAGGCCATATTTGTGGAATAAGAAATATCCGGCTTTAGGAAGAGACTAGAAACTGTAAAACTGATAATAAGTCATCAGTCGGATCTTAGTTGGGGATTGGTAAGAAGGTAGCTGAATTGGAGTTCCCACTAAACCACAAAAAGGCGTTGTTAGAAGGGTAGAAATGGTCTGCGTCCACACTAACCACAGACTTTCCTATGATAGCGGGAGACTAATGTCGTCTTTTGTCACGTCCGCTTGATATAACTGTTTTTGCTTGCAGACGGGGATGGGGATTTTGACATTCAAAGAGAACATATTGTGATGGCTTGACACTTTGTTTAAATGTGTCTGCGCTGGTACTTCAAACCCGGCAGGCTGCACTTCCACTCCCCTATGACACTTTGTTTTATTACGATTTCAGCGAAGGCAGTGGAGGCCACAATGCTATAATGGTAATAAATGGCTCATGATTTCAATTCAGGTAACCATTTCATGCTAAAAATGGCGCTGGTTAGTGTGTGTTGCAGTGTATTGTGATTGGAACCGGTACTCTTTTGGGGTGGTGGGTGTGATGCGGGACAATTTGACAGAACTATTTTAAACCGACTTTTCATTGCGCGAGTCTATGTTAGAATAGGGATCAAAAGCACAGCATGGTAATGAAGTAAAATCAACCGCCAAATTTTAATCTCCCAACACTTTGCAGTTGGGATTTCCTGGGAACGTCTATTTACTCTTGGATGTTATCATAAAAATGCACCAAAGAATTATTCCATGAGCATGAGAAGTGTTTGATTAGAGTAACTAATTCCGATAAATAGGTAAACATGTAAATTACTTGGTCAATATCCTCCCACCCAGCCTAAATGATCTTGTCATTCCCGCAAACTTTCATGTAATTATCTTCATCGCGATCAACAAGGGCAATGTGTGAAGAGGACGGTCAGACGAGAAATGAAGTGACATTTTTTAAGACGATTACTCCAGTATTTCAAGTAATGCACAGCGCATCTATTTGGAGCCTAGGTTTGTGCACTACAAATAGTTTCGCGGTTAGGCGATCAACACGCAAGTTCTTTGGTCCCTATTTATAAATGGTATGATGGAAAAGTAGAATTGGCAGAATTCCGCTTCTACAAAATAGTTATATTTTGGGAAATGTAGCTTACAGCATTAGCGGGATTCTTATGGTTTAACAATGTGGATACCTGATCAGTCTAGAAGATATATTCTCACCAAACTCTTGAACTTGAAATCGCGAAAGCCCAATCTTTTGATTAGGGTAGATTTGACTAAACCTGGTGAATTTCCGGCCCAATAGCGTACAGATGACAAAAAAGGGAAAATTGCATTTAACAGACTACAGTAACCGGCTTCAAGCAACGATCGCAATGCGTAAGGAAAGCCATCTTCTCCCTGATATTGGAAGATGAAGTCTTTGGCCACTTTTAATGTGTCTTCAGTTGCATTACAAATCTAAAATGAAAAATCCGAAACCCCATTCTTCCTAACTTGGGAACATATTCGACCCGAATAACACAAATACCGACAAAGTGTGGGTAATTTAGATGTTTATCTTGAACCCTCATATGATTGACATTTTAGTTTAAATTATGACATACACGTTTTAAATAGAAATTACCCATTGGCACGTTGCAATTGGGTATTTCTTTGGATGTTCATTTAAATACGCGGACTATCCACACATGCCCATGCTTTCCCGCCTCTTCTTGTTAGTACTAAATCCTTCCATATTACGACTTCAGAGTAGTCTCCAGACGCTACACCTGTTATGTTTATATCATATGAATTAACACTTTTCATGCAACCACGACCACTTTTTCTCATTTTCCCCAAAAATATTTCTCAGGATTTTATTCACATGCAAATATACATGTCAATTACAGACAGAAGTGATTTTGTTCGACCCCATCCCAGACGGTGAGGGTTAATATGAAATTTGATATATGGATTATGCTATTACATATATGCTGGCTCCTATCAAATCATTCATTCTAAAGTTTTTAAAGTACAATTTAGCATGCAAATAAACTTGGGTACGCATTATGACCATAATTTCACTCGCGGGTTCTAACCAGATGTTGCAGTTATTTGAATTTTTAATCCAACATTCATTACCGAAGGACTTATCCGTCAGATGAGGGTAATTTAGTAACTGGGCTGCGAATCTGTCTCTTATTACCTCATGAGGATAAATCCGTGGAACAGGAAAGGAATTTGATAGAATTTCCCAGGTGAGTGCCAATTTAGTCGCCCACGCTTGCCTTAATTATCTGCATTTGCTCCTAAGTTAATGAAGTTAACATTTTTCACACTTTGAACAGAACGTTTATAACATTTTCAAAATTGTTAAGAGACTTTAATCGCATCCCAGGAAAAATTAGTACTAATTCGGATGGTTAGTGGTCTATATTTATTGCAAAAATTAGTTGTCTTAGTCCTGTTGGTATTTCGGCTCGTTGTGTTTAGCAATTTCAAAAATGTACGAATAAAACCAATTATTTTTATTGGATCATGTTAAATTGTAAACAAGTAACGAAGCCGTAACTAATTTGGCAAATTGCCTCCTTTTTCATCACACACGATTAGAGTCAACCGGATCGCGTTAAACATCAAGCATTTGTGTTTGGTTTAGATGGACTTCACGTTTGTGACGAAAGTTGATGATTCCAAACATATTCAAACGTTCGACCGTGTTATCCCTTGCCAAAATTGGAATTACGGCAATTCCAACTTGGTTATTTAGGAATCTGCCGGCTAGATACGGGTGTGTCAGATGTGCTACCACTGGTCACGGCGGAAGGAGGCACTGACTCAGGTCGAACGTGCACTGCTGTTGGCGTCAGCACTTGCACAACAGCAGCAACAATGAACACAGTCAGCAAATTCACCAGGGATACGAGAAAATCCTGTAAACGCTGCTCACTTCAGCAGGGCACAGCGTTCCGACTTATAACACATTGTTGGATTTGCGTCCATGATACGTGAACACTTTAAATATAACTTCGAAGCCACGACGAACATGACTAAGTTGACTATTTTGCTGATTACACAACGAGTCTCCAAAATAGTTGTTGATAAGAGCCCACCAAAAAGATGAGTAGTGAGTTGTTCTGAAAGCACAATTCATTACTCCCGGACACCTATAACTGATTTTATTTACCGTGAAAATATTTCGGTGGAAACTACATCGAGTTTTGAGAGTTGGCTGGCCCAAGTGAAATCAATAAAGTCAAAAATTGCAAAGTGAAATTTGCTTGGATCTTATTACTTTACTGCGACGGAATGCTGCTTCATGGTGGACTCTAAAAATTTATTCTTGATGATTCCACAATAAACTATAACTGAACTAAGGGAGATAAGCCGTTAGCTTGCCGGTGAGCTTAATCGAAATTAGTGCATAAAAATGAATTCAAATATAGGCAAGTGTCTTACAAAATAAGACAAGTGCAAAGTCATACAAATAAAGTGGAAGAAGAATAGGAAATGAGGTTTCTTAAGATGCGTCTTTATCACTATACCAGAGTTAATGTTCTGACTACCTTAAATAAGTGTGCAATTAATTCCCAAAAAGTTAATTTTGCTAAAAATGGGAGAATTCAGCGAAATCCCCGACTGTTGTTTTTAGTGTTTGGTGTACGAATTCCCACTTACGTTAAAGAAATCTATGCAAATATTGTAACTTCAACTCCTCTTTCCTCTACCTCTGGCTTCAGACCCTTGAATCAAAAAGAGTGGGTAGAGGAATGCATTTTAAAGTGTGTAGTGTGTGGGGGTTCGCAAATTAGCAAGGTTCCACGGAGGATTCAGTGTTTTTGCGGCCTGGAGACCGATGGCTTCCGCCCAGCCGTAAGGTTGGTGTAAACTAACCGTTTGTTACACAAATGGTGTATTTAAACAAGCGTGTGTTACAGAAGTATACGGCAGTCATGAAAAAATCAAGATTATATAAAAAAGCTGACGAAAATAACAAATTTGTCTTTTGTTGATTCTGCATTGCAGATAATTTGAAAAGAATACGATTAGAAATCTGCCTTTGTTGAGAGTATTTTGAGCCTCACCTCGGCTCTGTTAAGGCGGTATTTATAATTATTGAATCGCGTTGGTTGAATACGGCTCTGGCTACTTAAAAGACGTTATCGTTGACGAATGTTTGTGGGCAGTTGCTCCTCATGTTAATATGCCTCAGATGTTAATGAATCAGAGATGAACTAGCAGAACTAACAAAATGCTTTATTTGCTTTCGTTAACAGTACGAAATGGCCAGTAGTGGGATACCCTCTATTGACGATTGAGTACTGAAACTCATGGTTTTCTGACTGCATACATTTTCGTGGACATGGCAATGCTCTTAAGAAAGAGACTGATTTCTTCATCAATCGACATCAAAAACTAATTTTTTTTTCAATTATACAATAATGATAGCAAAAAAATATTACTGGTGAATGAAATTTACGAGGAATAAATAAAGTCGGCATTTAATGTTATTGTTTAATCGAAGTGCAAAAAGGACTTTTTAAATGTGAAGGCTTTAAAAGCACAAGCACGGCGGTGCGTCAGTAGCCGAATTTCTGTAGAGTAGCATATAAATGTGCCACCAGTCGAGAATTTGGAACTGTTTGGATTTATCAATGCGGGATTTCAAGACTATCCTTAATTAACCTTGATATTAACAGTTTACTGCAATTCCTAAAAAAATGATGTCAAAAGCAACCACTTTCATGCAATTATATGTTCGTATTCCTTATCAACCAAGTTCCTGGAAACACTTGCGGCAATTTTTATCGTCAGTCTAAAGGACTGAGAATTTCAAAGTGCGTATTTGCTAGATCGGTCATTTAGAGAGCAGAAAAACAGGTAAAGGCAATTTCTTAATAATTGAAATCAACACCACTCAAACACACCATCTGGTCCCGATGGGTGTGATGATTAAGACACCAAAGTTTCAAGCCACTCTCCAATTTTTATTGTGAAGCGCTCTTCCTTCCCATCTTTTATGTATTTCACTTTCATGGATAAATTTGCCAAATGTTGGCGCACACCAAATTTAAGTAGATTTATAAAACCATTGTCAAACCGGGGTCTTGTCCACTGATGGTACAAAGATAGCATTGATGGAAGTTGGCAAATGCTTCTCAATCGCAGAAAATTGATTTTTCCCTTGTGTCGATGAGGGGGAATTGCAAAGCCGTACTCACTAAACGTCGTTTAATGGTGCGCAACGTATTTGCCCACAAAGATTATCAAGTAAACACGGAGGAGCGCTGAGTATTTTGCGGCGATTTTGAGATTTTATGGCCTCAACGGTTATCAGACTGGTGGGATCATTTTCGCATTCGCCCAGCGTATGCAAATGATGAGGACTTAGAACTTTAGCCATTCATACATCACACTACTCCTTTGTATTTAGAATCAATTAGCCAAAAGGCTTTACTAATCGAGCAAGTTTTGGTTATTCGCTAATTGTTACATTGTCTTGACCACAATTGTAGCAACCATATCTCAAATACTTACCTTTGACGTGAACTTGCAACGACCCATATAGATTAAGTTATTTCATGAAGCATTAAGAGAATAAAAATTTGTTGTCTTAAAAACAAAAGAAAACTTCAGAACGGTGGTAGAACAGCGTTACAGAGCATTTAATTTAGGATATATTTATCAAAACATCCTAGTATCTGCAAAAAACATTCTTCTTATTTTTGGAAGCATTTCCAGCAGGCATAAATTGAAAATAAAACGTGTTTTTTAGATATTCTTTTGTTTAGTGAAGAGATTTTACATCTAGACAATGCACCTGCAACCCCTTTCAAAGCAAAGTGCAGCATGAAAAAGTTTTTCCTACTTATTGTCAACACGTAAATTAACGCCTCTGCTGAATTAAATAAAGGCGACTGCTTGAACTCATTTCAAGTTTATGTAATCGTTGCACTGCGTTCAAGGTACATGGCCGATTTAAGAATAGAAAGTGCGCAGGATGCATTATAAATAGGTGCGTGGTTCACGGACACACTGTTGCGCATCGACTTTGTTCCAGAAGGGATAAACAAAGTTAAGTTTCAACCTCGCCTGAGAAGTCTGAGGCACCAGATCTACTCATCTGGCCTAGTCTAGTTGACATATCAGAAATGCCGTGCTTCAGCACCAACGTATTAGCGTTTAAATTCCATGCCTCTATATAATCGTCTTTGTACGTGTTGTTTAAATAACTCTGTTAAATAAGTTTCAAAAGTCATTCTCACTGAGCATTTTCAACATATTTAGCAAAGTTACAGTGTCGGGTGGCCATGCCATAATATTTCTCAACTTTCTATTTGTGTATTTCCTAAAATTAAAAAAATGAGCAACAATATTATTATTAATATACTTTGTTTTGATGTAAGCCATTAAGGTCTGTGAGGACATAGTTAAGAAGTGAGGAACTTATCGGAGCTGTTTATTAATAAAGGTAAGGCAACTGGTAATGGGAAAATATATAAGGAATGCAATCTCAACTCCTCAAATAAATTAAAAATAGTTGCATAAGAAGTGCAGAGTTGAATTATGTTATCTTCGTGTAGTGCATGCCATTTCTACTTCCTATTGTGTTAAGAAAAAGTGCGGGCCAATTCATGTTTAACCATTATCAATGCTACGGTTTATAGATAGATCTGCGGTATTCGGGCAAGCCGCTTCCAATAAGCAAAATTTTGCTGTATATATTTTGCGATAAGCCTGCATGCCATGGCAACCTAACCACGCTCCGACTGGTCAAAAGAGAGCCAATGAAATTGTTCAAATCAAAAGAAGCAGCTTTACCAGTCTCTGGCTGGGTGCTCCTATTAGATGGGAGAAGTGTGGGCATGCTGAACGAAGAATAAGTTATTACGGCTATAAAGGGTTGATGAAACATACATTCGTATCTTCGTCGCCTGGTCAGTACACTGTGACAGCAATCACGGAAAATCCATTACAAGACGTGTCCTTGTCCAAAAAATCTGAGGAATATTCTCGCACGCGCACCTCTCGGGCCAAACAACTGCTCAACTCCCTAAGGAATTTCACTTCAGCCGGGACCACACCCACAGCTTCTCCGAACCGCAGTGCCAACAGTGGCGTGGTGTGCAGGATTCCGCGAGCTTGCTGTAGATACAGCAGTCCTCAGAAGCAACAGCACTTCAGGAGCTCCCCACGACTACGACTCAGCCAGACTGTAATCAACTCCGATGCTCAGGCATTTAGACGAAGGACAGAGTCGGATGGCTCTCCAGGAAGCGTGACAGGAACGACCATGGATATGAGGAAGCAACAGTTTGGCCAACTCAGTACGGTGAGTGATTAGGCGTAAATTAATAGATTAGTTGTTTAAAGCATTATCAAATTGCTTTTTAAATGTGCAGTTTGCTTTGTTTATTTTAAATAAAATTAAAACGATTTGCATTCATGTGGACTGATTTACAATTTTTCAAGCATACGACGATACAAATCAAGTCACTTTCAATGTTAATATGCATAAGCTGAATCGTACTGAATTTTTGGTTATCTTTTGGACTCATAGAAAGATTATAGTTTTTGGAGTGGAAATTAGCAATAGCGACTACTCAAAAAAGGAATAATATGGAAGAACCCATTAATTTTAGTTTTTTGCCGGCCTCTGCATTCGTTTACTTTAAATAAAACCATTTGTTTTGAAAGTAAAAAGCATATTACCAAAACGGCAACATTTTGATTACTATATGTAATTCAATATCTAAGATCTCCCATTAATTTCTTCTTTTCGCAATACTTAAATTGCGCCTTAGCACTATCGCTAGAGCAAATAGTATTTAGCTATATCTTCACCTTTGAGTAGGAAAAAGTTTATGCCCTCTACAAGCAACTAATTGAGCATTTGCTCGAGCCCAAATCGAGGTGACGAATTGCGCAATATTGCTCAATTAGTATTTCGGGCTTAACAAAATCAGCCTAACAATAGATTTATGATACTTCCACCAAATTTTACATAATGTTCAATTGGTTTTCACATCCAATCATTAAATAAGCGTTTGCAATGAAAGGCAGCATAATGCATGGCTCGGTTTTCTGCCTTCTCCCAATTTCTTTGTGGCTTAGCCCACTAATGTGCACACAAACTATGCATTCACTAAAGGGGATTAATTTTATCATTTCACTTGATTGGCAAGAACTAAGGTGATGAATACTAACTAATTCAGAATCCTCGTGAATTCCAACTTTCCTTTACATGGACGGCTTTCTGAACTGCTCTGATTTTTCCGAATCATTGTGTGCATGAATACCACCGTGCCATAATGCATTGGGTAGGGTTGCCGTCGTAGTATCAGATCAGAATTATATCCTCAATCAGTGTTTAGCTTTTCAAATTCAAAAATTGACTTATTCCAGAATTTGAAAGCCGGTATGAAATCCCGTGACCGGATTCGTGGGTCTCTACTGAAAGCTTTCTGTACTACATGAATAGTGATCTACCGCACAGGAAACCGTCATTTTTACCTATTCAGTGCTAGATAAAGCTATTGTTAAGTAGAATTTCGTATATTTTGTTCGCCTGTAGGAAACGCAACATCCCATCTTATATAAAGCCATTCATCCATTATGTAACGACGTGCTTACATTTTAATAAAAGCATCAGATAAATAACGATGCGTTTGTCAAGTCGGTCATCAGAAAAAGCTATTTCCATGCTCTCAACATTTGATTTGTTAGGATTTTGCCAGTACCTCAAAGGCCAGTCAACTATTCATTAGCACAGCTAACTTAAAAATCATGGCCAATTGCAAAAGGCATATTGATTGTTACTGTCGGCTTTGTATTAGACATATATGCAATAACTCTGAATAAAGGAAAATCTGGAAAACTCTACCTACTTTTAATCTATTTTTATCATGCTCTTGCGATCTGTAGTTGAAGGAATACACTTCCCAATGAAAGCCTAACATTATGCCGCCATTTTGCGAAAAATAATGCAAAAGGATAAAATTTTCATGGTTAAAAAGGCCTTCTGAATTGAGACATTAATCGTAGTAATAAAGGTAATGTGGCTTTTGAAAAAAACATCAGTGAACTGTAGGTGGGGAGTATTCTGAGCGGAACAGACCTTAAGAAGACTAACTTTTAAAAAACCTTGATAATCTTTGACATTCATCACTAGGCTAATTTAATTTCAGCTTAATATTAAATTATCTGATAGACGCCCTGGCAAGCCCACAAATACGCATTAAATGCATGCAACTTCCTCTTAAAAACGTAAATAAAAACCGACACCAAAATACACATTCATAATTGGAAATTTCGTTGATGTTATTAATTCCAGATATAGGTCAAATCCTCTCCCCCAGTCAAAATCGCGTATATCATTCTATGCTGACAGATTACGGACCTCTCCGTATTCTCATAACACACTCCATATCGGCATGCACTTTTGAACAAGACACTGTGATGGAAAATGAAGAAATGTTGACTGTTGAATGGATTCAACTCCAACTAAACACATTCACTAATAAAAGTAGACTAAAACAAATCGTCATATTTATCATTAGTGTGAGTGAGGTTTCATTAAAAATAACTTGTCGTCAAAATGGAAATGATTTATGAAAGGAAAAAGTTCGCATAAGGATAAAGTGAATGTGGCACTTGAAGACCTTTAAAATGCCATATTTGATTGAACGCATACTTACCACTGAAATTCAATAAGAAATCTATTCCTCTCCTAAAAAATGTGTAAAATAATTTAAGGTGCAGTCTCATCATGACCAAAAATCGAGAGGGTCTACCCATCACAGCGGATCGAAAACACGGATCTTTAAGCCCATTGAAAATTTCATGATGGACAACAAACCTTGCTCGTTAAAATGCAAATGTGGGTAGTGTTTAGAGGACCTATTCTTCAATTCATACTTTATCAATTCGAGCACCTCTCGAATATAGCCTCCTACTCAAAAGGCGATGCACAATTAAAGACCGTGTATATCTGAATGTGCTCACTAGACATTTCAGCTTCATTATGAATACTTTAGATGATCAAACTAAGCAGAAGTAAAGTAGTATTAGAGCCATTAAAACCCGTTATGTTTGCAGCATTTTAGAATCAACCGTTTTAATTTGTTTAAAAACTGAGCATTTTGGAACTGGTACGTTTTGCTGCATAGGTAAGGTGTATAGGGAAGTGAGGTGATGAAAATTAAGAAAAACCACGAATGAATTAATACTCCTTCAAAGTTACTTCCAAGCTCTAACCTTGACTTTACCTAGCAGCTAGCTTCTGATAGACATCGTCTTCACTCCTACATTACAGTGTATTATGGATGGCCATTAGTTTTACTTTTCTATTCGGCATATTTCATAGAAAATTCACTCGAAAACAGCTTGATCCAATTTCATGCAAGTCAATTCGTTCCCAATAAGGCTCCTACATCTGACAATTTGTGCGGAATAGTTATATCACAGCTATATACAGGATGGCTAAATTTTTAAAAGTATCCAAGTATCCAAGTTTCCACCTCCTGGCTACAGCCATCTTTGGTAGGTCCGTTTGAAAGAAGAATTGGTGTAGGTAAATATGTCCATATCTTAAAGTTTTTCAGTAGTTTTTGGGTCACCTTAAACGCTATCTGTATATGATGGGATAGTTTCTCCGAAAGCCAATTAATGTGATCAAATTTAAGTGCTAACCCATAACACCCATTTAGTTGCATTAGTAACTTAGACTTATGGTCTACTTGTCAATTTACTCTGTTTACACGGCTACTCAAATCATGTTGGAACTCAAGAACAACAAACCGTGGCATTTAGCAGTTAAAGCAAATGAGTGAATCGTTTCAATGATTCATATGCTTGCACTTTTCATTTGCAGACTCGTAGGTCAAGTTGTTTTACGATAAGGACCCAATGACTCTGCCTGCGATAAAATTAAATTATACCATGTTCTTTTAAATTTTGAGTCTTATGCGAGCACAGATTTTACCCCCGGATCAACCTTTTCAAATGGCCGCCGCAGCGTGAACACACCATTTTACCACATCAAATAAGGTATTCAGCGGTTTAATGAGACGATACATAAACTTTTATCCGTTGAATTATTCCCCTTTAAATGACGAGGTGTTGCATGAATAATTGCATTACCAATCGCATTGCTACTAACCTTATCTATCTTTACTCACATTTTGGAAGTAGCAAACATTGCCCTACAATTTTTGTCTAATAAATAGAGAAGTGTTTCTCGAGCTCTCATCATTGTTAATACTTTTCATGAAACAAATACCTTTTTTCTAGTAGCACACAGAGAGTTTTTTGGTTTACGGGGCTTGGTATTTGAGCTGTTAGGTGTAGAAACTGGCATTCCTAGTGCATTACGATATGTTCAAGGCAGTAATGTGCCAGCACACAGTCTGGGACACTGCACCCTCTCAAGCATACTTGAAACACAGAAGTACTGTAGGGGGCATTTGACTTTCTGACGCTTTAATGAAATGATCCTAGGATTTAGTTTTATGTTTGTGTAATTTAAAAGATATTATCGGTAAATAAACTGGTAAAATTTTTAATCACCGTTTAAATGTAATAAATCGAAATTTAGGACTACTAATTTAAAAGAAACCTATACCAATTAATTATGGCTGCCTTATAGAAATATTCAGAAAGTGTAGCTTAATTTTCTTCCCAATTCTATAATGGTTAGCGCTTTCAGATGAATTTGAATTGTTAGAATATTGCCACGCATAAATTATCTCCTTAGCCAAAGCGGAGTGGAGAGGAAGCCTAGCATAAATAGATGAAAAGTGTCCTTGTAAAGCACGGTAACGTGTCAGACATGACCAGTAGGTGGAGACGATTGATTGTTGCTCAAAATCCCACCTGCGCATCTCCCACGTCTGCACGAATGCAAACGCAATTCCCTACTTGGATTTTGATTGGCTTGTATTACTAATCAATCGCGCATTCTCCGTCCAATCGGAACGGCGCAGACACCTCGGTTGTACACTCGTGCCGTCCAATGGGCACGGCAAAGTGGGAAGCGCCTATTCTTTGGGAGACAAGATTTAACCCACACAAGTGTTAACACGGAAGACCTAATCGTTTTCTGAATTTTTGATATTTTGCATTGGAACTTATCTTGCCAATTGGTTCGGTCTGTCATGGGTTAAAACCATTCAAGTAAGCTATCAGCGTCTGATAGGAGGACATCTTTTGCTTTAAAAGTTGTAAATATTTTCACTTTTTTAGATTGTTGGTCCATTATACTTTCATTAAAAAAATCCATGGCACCCATATTTTCTTCTCAAGTAGCATTCATAACCCTTTTAAAAGTACCACACAATTAGGTGTTCGTAGCTTATGTGGCTCCTGGTAGGTCGCAGTTTGGCATTTTTCAATTTAAAGTAAAAAGTGCCTTTAACTTTCCACTATTCTAAGTTGTCATGGAAAAAATATCTGGTTTTCTGACGTTTTACTTTCAATTATCTTGTAACTCCTTCAAATTCATCTGGGAATGAAGACTATCCTAATTCAGTTTTTTTGGAGCAAAGCTATGAACTGTTTGCCCTTTGTCTTGTAATTTCACAGAAGAATCAATTAATCCTCACTTTTCACTGCAGATTTTGGCGAATTATGTAATCTTCCCTGCTTCCTCCCACGAATGCTCGTATATCGAGCAAAAGGCAGGTTTTTCATTTTTTGGGTTTTATTTCATAACACTCATGTCTACAAAGTGTAGCCACTAGTAGAATGCTATCTTTGCAAATCAGTGAAAGATCGAAAAGACGTGACAGCCTGTCCATATATGTCCCTGCTACTATAATTGCGATGGGAATTTTGATTATCGGGAATAACATAACGTACAATCCTAACAGAATCAACAGAACTTTATTGTGGATCTAAATTATGAGGAGGCGTAATTTGCCAATTGGTTGTTTTCTAAAGTGATTTCTTTTCATTACAAAATAGTCGTTTTCATCAGCTATTTATAACATGCGGAGCATTCATTTAGCTGTGTGATCAAGCATTTAGCTACCAAATTCACTGGATATTTCACGGCCTGCCTAATTTAGGCTTTCAAATGAATCGTTTAAGTTCGACTTCTCTTTTTGATGTTTTTTGTAACCTTCGCACTTCTTTTGTCCGTCAGAGGAGTAGTAATTTCATGAGTAAGGCTTATATATCGTGCACTTTGCGCGTGCTTTCAAAAGAGCATACCTTCTCTTCCAGCGAAAGCGATCTCACCGTCAAAATTAAACTGGATGGCAATCAGATGTTTCCTCTGGGATCCACATGCTCAAATTTGGAGTTCCGGCCATGATGCGTCTTTTAAATAACTAAGAAAATTTGAGGATGAACATAGTTATAATAAAACTAGTGGGAAAAGTTGTTTCATTTGGTGTGAGAGTGTCACTCTTGTTAGAGTCCAGTGCTCTGTTCTACCACATGAGTTTAACCATTTGCAAAGACTATCTACAGGTTTATGTGTTTGAACATCATGTTTTAAGAGATGCTGTGAGCACATGAAATCACACGTAAATATATGGGTTTTGCGGATTGCAGGGCTTTATCCTTGCAATCCAAAATAGTGCTTTTATTTTATGCTTACCGTTTACTTAAAAAAAATCGGTCCAATTTCTTATCTGCTGGTTTACTGCCAGGTCATACATTTCTATCAAAATTTGATGCAATGAAACACCTCAGAGGTATCGCAAAACAAGTTAAGGTACTGATTTATTTGGTGATCCACCGTTTTTAAATATAACATTAGTTGCCTGGCTAAAATGAAGCCTTCACTGTGGCTCAGTGATACAGCAAAGTTATGCTCATTAAATATTAGGTAACTGTTCTACTAAATTGCAGGAGAATCAAAAAGCAAAAATGTGGGTATAAGTTTACCGAATATCTATGACTGGAACAGTTAACAGGAGCATAAAACTTCGTCTTTAATGAGATGGCAATTGTTAATTCAAGTTAGTTTATTGTAAAATGCTTTGAATTGAAAAAACGTTTTGAATGCTTAAAGGTGAACACCGTGTTTGTGATCGAGAAATGGGCCTAAAAAGTGCAAACCTGAATAATTTATTCATGCTAAGCCCTGCCCCTAGGAAGCCGATATTTGCATTTCAGTGAGGATTTATCATACATCCGAACACTTGGTATCAAAGTCCAAAAAATAGTCTTGCCATAGCTGGGAAATTGTTTCCATTAATTGTCTTGCAAATGTATTAATTGAAGATCGTCGTATTTAGCAAAGCGTGTTCATAAAGTGCAGCCTCGATGTGAATTTAGATCCAAAATATGAAGCTCATTAAACTGAAGTGTAAAATGAAATGTACGTACTTTCAAATGATCCATGCTTTTTGAATATTTATGCTAACCTAGTGGGTTTTTTTAATAGCAGGGACGGGGATGAGAAGTTGGAATAGAACTTGTGTCCTTCAGTATGTGTGAGAATGGTAACCTTTGCCACTTGCAGACCTCAAGTGCTTCTAGCATAGCTAATGCCGTTCGGTCACCAGAAATAAGGAAGCCACAAAGCAACCAAATGTCCTCTATTCCTAAATCACTCACGGAGGCGAAGCGAGGCACATCACTTGCCAATGGAGGGATCGCTGCTGCTGGTGCTAATGGTGGAGGTGGTAGTGGTAGTCTCACCTCGAGAATCCCCACGGCGCCTATGGCACCGAGCATGGTGGTGGGGGCAGGTGCAGCCACCAATCTGGGCCGGAAGACGAGGGTAGCAGCAGTGGCCCACCAGAAGACACTCCTCACCAGTAATCTGGGCGTCACCTCGCCACCCACCCAGAGGCCCGTCGACTCACACTACGGCAGCGTACGTCGTGCCGAGATCACCAAGGTGATAGGCCAGACTACCGCAGTAACTGCTACGCCGGCGGGGGCCCAAGTTCATCAGGGAAACCAAACCTACACCCTCATCGCCTACCAGCCCACCCAGTCTGGTACGTTAATCCCACTAGCTTACACTCGTAGTTTACATTCTACCTTAATCGTTTATTTTTTTCGGAGGAAGAGATTAGTTTCTTACTTATGAAATGGCTTTTCTTAGCATCTGGAAGAAATCGTTATTATAAAGGCCTTCTGGACTTAAAGCTAAAACATCGCGTGATGTCTAGGTGTCAAGATTCTGGCGACATTCGTCACCCATATTTACCCCAAAATTGCAAGAGACGAATCTGCATGCTAAAATGCAACCTTTTTAGGAATGTACTATCATCTCATTCCATCCATATATGTAAATGTAATGTTAAAAAAAGTCATAGATAACCCCATCAAAGCTCCACTTAGGCATAAAATAATTGTATCCCTTGATGTTTGCGATACTATCGTCTCTATCAATAATGCTTTTTTTCAGTAGGACACTTTATTTAACTGCAAAAAGAACTTCCCTTTATCGGGTTTGAAGAGTAACGGTAAGAGCTATCTGTATTTTTCAGACCCTCACAGAAAGGTCCAGAACCAACCAGCTGTCCTCTACGCAATTCCCTCAAGCCACGCCTTCCTTCAACAGCATCAGCTCCATCAAATAACTCAACAGCAACAACAACAACATTCCTCACAAGCAAGTCTTAAACCATTTCAACATGCGATGCCTCATAAAGTTTCAGCGACATAAGCAAAATTAGCTAATCGTAGCATCGTGAAATGCAGCTTTTGCCTAATTTGACTTAGTTATGGGGGACTTCCATGGCACAACAAAAAGAATGCTTACCTAACATGCATCTCAAAGGAGTAGAGATAGTCACTCATGTTGTTGGTAACAACAAGTAATCTAATGTTTCATGCATAATTGTTATTAATGTATTTAATGAATGGAGCAATTAATAGTATCTAATAAAAGTGCTCTCAGGGATTCAGTAAGTATAAAATGGAAAGCTATGCTTATTTATAATTCTTTGCACGGTTCATACCCTATAATTTCCTCCTTACTTTGAAAATGACAGCAAATTTTGCAACTAACCACAACTCGGTATATCTGTGTTTGCATCTTTTCTGTTTTTGTCGATTTGCATGGACGTCAATTTACAACTAAATAAAGTTCTAAAAATTGAAAACTCGTGTTGGTAGGTCATAAAACAGGGTTCAGACGTGATATTTATAAAACCATTCATCATCTGCACTTTGTAGGATGATTTGAGTATTGTTAATACTACGATTTAACAATGATGCATTACCTTCTTGCCGCCCTTTTTTTACACTGTGACCACAACCACGTGGACTGGACATATTGCATTCATTTCAGTTCATCGATGCTTTTCGATCTAAAATAAGCATAAATGAGGTAAATATGTACTTATCTACACTACTGAATTCTTGAAAAAGTATGCAGAATAATCGTTTGGACTAATAGACTATAGCTACGCAATAACTAAACGCTGACCTCATTTGCTTTGTCTCCATGTATGATCATAATCTCTCACATAATCCTTTTTGCTTAATTTTTGTCGATGTCCCCCCATCAACTTCGTCACACATATCCTTAGCATTGCAGTAAATTAAAGTTTTATCGATATTTTTGGAAAAAGTCCAATTCCATGGGACTGTAAGATCAGCTGCTGTGATGTCTATTTGGCCCTCTTCAGCCCGTCTCAGGTGGCATTACACCAGCAGCAGTGTTGATGCCGTCAACTCTTCCAGGCCATGCACATCCGCACGTCCATGGCTCCAACGCCTGCGATGTGGGACAACAGCAGCGGACGACAGTGACGACGACAACAACGGCGACGATGGCAACACCAGTGCATCGACCAGCGGAACTGGTTTGCACCTGTCCGCCTGAGCTCCATCAAGGTAATCAAAAATGTTCTCCTTTCACCCTTCTCCCTTCAGTCATTCGATGCTCACACGATTGCGACTTTGTTTTGCATGGACACTAGCGCCGAGTTTGTCTAAAAGAAAATAAGAACACAAACCCTCCAATGTTCATAAATAAAAATGGACCGTTGGTACATGTGCAGGTGAAAGTGATATAATTAATTTAGCCAACAGCATTTATGATACCTCTTCCGTTATTTTAAATGAATACTTTAAAAGGTATCATCGATTTAGCTCAAATGCATGTTACAATTATGTTTATTTCGGATTGTGGGTAAAAAGGAACTGTAAAATTGATGGGATTGACTATCTATGTTCAACTAACGCATTTAGTTCCCTAACACATGAAAAAACACTAAATTATAACGCAAGTGCACGTCAGACTCCACGCTTAATAAAATCTCACTTTAAAACCAAAGAATGGAGACTTTTTTAAATGAAACGGAAAACAATGAAGTTTTGCTACAAAGTTAATCACGACGTCTGTTCAATATACATTTACGCGTTAACTTCCTCAGGAGTAAATTGTGGCAGTTTATTCGGAGGAAAAATTACAAATATACAATGGGAGTCCTTCCTGGTGCAACTCACTATAATTACCATTGTTTCGGTGAAGATAGGAAGTAATAAAGGATATATAAAGGTATTTTGACATATTTAAAGCAAATAACTTACGGAGAGCACGCATTTTGCCCATCAATTTTTAGCGGAAACTTATTACTTGGTGGAGCACTAAAGTGCATAAAGATATCCACTTTACGTGATATAACTAAATGCTTAACTAATACCTTCAACCAAAATGCAGGCTAGTGTGGACTGTCTCCATGTTTAACAGAGTGAAATGTCGCGGGTGTCGTTGTGGCAGAAAACTATTACATCAATTCGGTCGAAGTATTGCCGTGTCTTCACTGGAAATGACCCATTTAATTGCATATGTCTACTTTGATTTGGAAAACACCATTTGTATTTTTAAGCAAACTTTAGCATCACTACTTCTCATAAAAGGTGATTCCCGGCAAGATTGAGGGTGATTATTTTATGAGCTATGTAACTAAGCATATGACAATTTTTCTGAAAATAGACCAATGCACAAGAACCCTACTGCCTTGTCGGAGCAACCACTTAAGCTGATTTGATTTCAGACTGCTACACTTAACCGCTTTTTTTTTTCACTTCGCTAACCGTTAACTGTAGTTTCCTACCAAATTCAGCCCTCATTGAGCATCATCAGCAACGTCAAGGCCAACAGAATTCGCAGAATTTCCTCCTGATCAATCGTGATCAACCCGCACTCCAGTTTCCGGACGTGTCTCATACAACCTTACATGCAGAAAGAAAACTGAGGCAAGTTCACGTCATATGCTACAAATAATTTTACACAACATGTAATTCCATGAATATGGCATCAGTAATCAAGCCCACAAATTTTATTCACTTATAAATAAATACTGTACAGAATACATGTCTTATTTGTTACACCTCGAATACGCATGCTTTTGCTCAATTGTGTTGAACAGGTTGAAAATCTTTCCTGTGTTCAAACAAAGATGCAAGACACAGGACTTCTTTGAATCAGTAATTAATGTAAATTTCTATTTCATTTCCTCTGCTATTTCTATACGCAGTATGTTAAGCTCTGGGGTCACATTTTCCGTTCCGAAGTTGAACATTTCTTATTGGCAAAAATCAAAGCAACCTTATCAGTACGAGGCATTAGTGAAGTATGGCTTAAGACGTGGAACATAGTAGTTGTTATTGATCCGAACCTGGTAATTATTCGCGCAGCACACCGGACAGCGGTCAATATCAGTGCGCGGACCTTCACTGCCCTCAGCAAGGCCGGGAGATGGACGCTGAGTCGCACGTCAACTACCTAGTTACGCTCTTTCAGGTGCTGATGGCCTCTGGGGTTCGTGGGGAATCCTTTGTCAGTGCCTTTCGACTATTGGGACTGTTGCCACAACTCACAGGTGCATTCACATCTTCTTACCAAGCCCTAGCTCATTGCCAAAAATTATTGATACTCTATAGGCGGCTAAAGTGTGTAAGCGGTTCCTTCAGATCGTAGCAATGAAGCGGATATTAGTCTTACCTAGAGGAGCTATTAAATAGATATTATTTGGATTTCAGTTATACGTGTAAATGCCAAGCCAAAATGGGATGTTTTTAGTGTAGTAGCAGTCAAAGTGGAAAAAGAAATATTAAAATCGACTACAACTTTAGCAGCCCAAGTTCGTGGATAGTACGCAAGCGAATTCATTTACTTTTGCATTACGTCATTGAAGCCAAAAAGAGATATTTTAAACGCATAGTTTATGGTAACATTGTAAAACGCATTAGCCAAAATCAATCTATTTGTCTAAATGTGCCTGTCATTTGCATCAGGTATGAGCATAGACACACTGTTAAGATCTCTTCCCGTTTCTGAAATTTGCCCGAATCTCCTTTACGGCTTAATTTCACTGGCATGATTCAAGTCCCATTCGTCCAAAACAAATAGGAAAGTTTTCGAGGATTTCGCGTTAGATTTATTCAGAAGACGGGTGGACCAGGTAAAAAAATCGTCAGCAAATACTGATTTAAGTTTCCAATCGGATTAAAAGTAAGTAAAACAGGCGACTTACAAAATCGAACCTGGGAAATGTGCCTGTTAAAATGTAATATTAGTATCTTTTGAAATAAATAAGTACTTAAGGCACTTCATTAACATCAACTACCTCATTGGCACATTAAAGATTTACAGAGGGAGACCGCTTTTCGTGCGAAAAACGAGTTACAGCAAGTTCGTGTCGCGTTATCTGATTTGAAGCAGGAGCAAATGCGGATGAAAACAATCTTTGCAAAGGAGGTTCAGTGCTGTGAAAGGCAGATAGCTGTAAGTATTCATTCCCCATTGATTGGTCATTTAAAGTAAAATCCTGATGCTGTTAAATTGTCTACGTGGTATTCCCAGGTGCAGTTGAAGAAGTACGAGCGCAGAAAGGGTCTACAGCAGGCCCAACCCTTCTACGACACCAGAATACATAAGGTGCGCTCGGACAGACAAACGTTGGACAATGCGCTTGCGGCCTATCAGACCACGTGGTCTTCTCTAATTGGTCAGTTAGCGGACCTAGAGGGCGTCATTGAAGAGACAGGCAATGATGTGCTCAAGGGTAGATGCCGAATCACCTTTCAAATGGTCAGCGCTCTCGAGGATCGCTTACAGCTTGCGACGTCAGCTATTGAATTTTGCTGTGGTGCGCTAATCTTTTTTGCAATAAAGTGGTAAGAGGTGTTGGATTATGAAGCAGCTTTACTGGTGATTTAAATATTTTGCCCTGTAGAAAGTGATCCCCTCCTGCGGAAGTCAATTTGGCAACATGCAGAGAACGAGATGGATTCGGCTGAACAGGAAACGCGGTAATTGATACTTGCTTTCATACATTTCAGTGCAATCTCCGCATTGAGCACTTTTTAAGTGCTACAGAATATCGGTTGCTTAAAAGTCATGCATCACCAGCAATTATAATCACATGAGCATTTAGTCATTTGTTGAATAGCGAGAAAATGCATTCATACTTTGAAATTATAAATTACAACATTTGGTTGTAATGAGGAAGTTTGAGTGATTTTCAGTATTCATGTACAGATTTATCTGAGTGGATCTGCAAAGTTAATTTGCGTGTTAAGCTTTAAGGCAAGCCATCGTTATGCAATCACACAGGTTTCTATTCCACTTGTTTACAGGATTCTCGAAGAACAGCTAGAACAGTTATCAGACTTGCAGGAGCGCAGTGCTAGGCTAAATGGAACAATCGCAACACTAAAACGGTAAACAACGTACCGACACGCCATTATTTTGTGCACTTTTTCCAAATGCTTTGTATTTAATTAATTTTTTTATGGGGATGAGTTCAATTAATTCCATTGTATTTGGTAAAATACCTATAGCACATAGCATTCACAACCATTCAATGTAATATTTCATTCAAAATGGGTGGGTGAATGAGGCGCGCTTTTGTTCTGAAAAACTGTTTTTTCCAACAGATCACGTCCGGAGTCAGTAAATAGTATAGTTTCATTTTATTACACACATCGACTCCGGGCAATTATTTCCGCCCAAATCCTCTTCAGCAGTACATTTTTACTTGGATAGGTTGGCAAAAGTAAACACGAACACCCGACAAAGTGAGCAGCAGCTGCAACGCTTACAATCACTAGGAGGAATATTGAATCCGACTGCCGCGGATAGTGGAAGTACCGAAAGGAAACGACTAATGGCCACTATCAGTCTCTTGCAACCTGATCATGATGAACGAATGCGTAGCATAGAGGTAGTCCACGAAAAAGTTCGAGTGGTTATGTGTATTAAATTGTAGGATTCAGACATTAAATAATGACTGGCTTAAAATAAAACATTCGATTGGTGGTTGTTTACTTGATTTATCGCATCGTTAAACTTGTTTAGGATGAAAAAAACAAAGTTAACTTTTGATACTGGATACTTAAATGTACAAGTGAGGTAATCGTCACCTCATCCCGCTTTGGTCTATTTCTTTTTGTGCAAGTTATCATACTTAGCAAGCTAGCCTTTCTAGTACTTTCGTAGGGTATACCCAAACATGTATCACACGTTCGTTAGACCCAGTGTTCGCTTATTTTAATTTGTAATGCTACAAATATTACTGGACTAGTGCCCAGAATCAAGCACACGTTGAAGCAAATTTCAATCAAAACTAAGGTTTCTTTGTAATTTTTGCATTCCTTTGCAACTTAGATTCAAGAAGCCCTTCGCGAGCGACGAAAACGCGTGTTTCGAGACCCCCCAGTGTTTAAAGGTCCCGCTAAAGCACTCCTTCTCAATGGCATTCATATTTCGCCCATTTGGCCGGAGGGCTTTTCACGTAAATCATATCGCCATTCGACTCTCACAGTGGATACTCCTGATGTTCCAGCGGTAAATGAAGAGCCGTCCGAAATCCCCAACACCACCGCAAATCTACCCCAACCGCTTCGTCTGCCCTTGTCCACAGTTCTCGTCAGTCGACTCAGAAATCCCAATGCACCCAGGGCCAAACGAAATGCGCGTGTAAAATTCAACATGCAGGTCTACGTTGACGGAGAGGACCAGCCACTGCCGCTGAACTGTGTTCCAGAAGAAGACAATCCCAGAAGCGCTCGGCGGAAGTCAGCTCCAGCCTTGCCCAGTCCAGATGAGGCAACACCGCCCGCTCCCCCTCCCCGACTGACCAGCCAGTCAGCCTCTGCCCCTCCCGCTGGGACAACAAAGTGTCAGCTGCAAAGCAGTCCGATAAAAATGCTGCGCTATGAAAATATGGACATGTTCCTAAAGAATGTTCAACAACTACCTGCTTCTGGTGAGCATTTAAAAGTATTGCTGCCTATTAATTTAAAAGTAGCAGTGGTATTTTATTTTATTTTAGGAGAGAACGTAAACCTATCTGCTCAAAAATGAATCCGTCTCTTCCAGCAGTAATTCGACAATTACCTCAGCTAGAATATGACCTTCGTGAAGCCTGATTCCCACCTTATTCCATGACAACAATTACATTTCAGATTGTAAAAGTATTATGGACATAATTGTGACGCCAAACACTGCATCTTTACGTTCTGTTACACTGTTTTCTGCTTACACCTGTAAATAACTAGTAAACACTTTTGAATTTGATCATGACAGATAAACTATATAAAATCGCCTCAGAACTGGGCTTCAGATATGAGGTCGTTCTGAAAAGGGAAGGAGCATTACGTTAAACAAGCTCAATACTGCTAGAATACCAAAATCATTTTAGTGAAAATAAATTAAGCACGGTCCATACACGGAACGTTGCCTGAGATAGCTAAAAAATGATTTTATCAGGATCTTTGGTTTATTTTCTGCTTTGCAAAAGGTTTGATAAATCTAACGATTCTTTATCTTTCACTACTTCGTTGCAACCCTTATGCTCTTGCTGCTTCAGTGGGCTCAAAACCGACGATGACCTCATGTTTTTCATATAAACAATTAGGCAGTTTATCAAGCCGGTTACCAGGTTAATAATGTTTCCTGGTATTAGACGAATATCATCGTACGTAAACTGTGAAAGACAACACGCTCTGCTCTCTACACTCAAAGTAGACTCAATTTACCAAAATATCAGTTCTCTTTGTGGGTACCATTATGCCACACAAGCAACGGGGGTGCTTTGCTATTTATTGTTCGAAATTACATAGTATTGCGCCGTTTCTGGCCGTTAAGATGTGCATTTGACCTTAAAAATATTCCATGAATCTTGATTCGGCCCTTCACATAAAAAAAGAATAACGGAAATTTCGCGTACACCAATTCACTTTGGTCTTGTTTATACGAAACATCGATTTCTGCAGTTGAGACCTGGTTGAACCGAGGATAAAACTGTTCATTTATGTAATAAAATTACGTTGATTGCCCTGCATTATAAAAGATTGTATTTTTATTCGCAGCTCTGAAAATAAAACAAGCAAATGACATTAACCTAACAAAGTTTGCTAACCACAAATTCTTTTGTGCTTTTCCAACAAAAAACAAGAAAGTCGTAAGATACCTTTTGGTGATTTTTAAATACAGCACTTTATGCATAAAAAGTCCAATAAGCCTAGAACTCCATTGTCTCACCAAATAGCACCTTTATGTGCTAAAATCTGGGACACATCATGGATCCACTTTTACCCGTCTACAGTACTACATTCATTGCAATTGTTTTTTTGGGGGTTGTACATTTCTTAGCTGTTCAGTAAAATTTTGCGTTTTTTGTGAGTTAACTGTCAGACAGGAAAGCACATTGAGCACCGCTCAAGCCTGCTGGTGCCAGCTGGGAATACACGCCCACGTGCTTCCACGCCCCAATCGCAACCTGCAACCCCTTCATGAAATTGTAAATTGCGCGAATTTTTTATAATTTAATGAAGAGGGAATTCGATATTAGTATTCTCACATAGTGTCCTAAAATAAAGTCCATCCAGAGGATTTTTATTTAGTAGGTACGTTAATTTTCACTTTCATTTCACTTCACCCCATAGCATCTGTTTAATATAAGCATATCTGAACGTCTGAGCCTTAAATAAAGTGACAGCAATTAAATTACAAATTTATTGTAAAATGTAATGAATTTGAGAAACGGCTTATCAAGTGAAATGGTAAGCTATTTGCAACCGCTTCAGGTCAACAATGATCATAAAATGCTGAAATTTTAGACAAAAACAAGACCCACCTGTATTTATCTGAGTGTGGTCAAGTCTTTTCAAAGTAACCCTTTAATTTTTACGGCTTTTGGTGCGCATTCTGTCAAAATTTAAATTAGTCCTTTAATGAAATTTTTGTGTTGGTAAAAAAGGTATAATTTAAAAAGGGTCTATGAACACACGGATTTCTTGTTACAAGCATACAAGTCAAACTCTCGCAGCAGAACCACCGAAAATAAAAACAATTTTAAAAGGTCATACGGAGACACTAAGCCTTTATTCACAAGAGGAAAGATAGTGGTAGAGTAAATGCTGTTAGAGGACAAATAAAGTCGCATCATAATGCGAATTATAAGACCTCTGGTAATTTCTGGAGTGGTTTAATGTGTCTGACCCCAAAATGTCTCAGGGATACGTAAAACGTTGGAAGAAGTGCATTGTAGTGTAAGCTGTTTAGTTAAAATGAGGCGAAGCTTGTTTCTTAGAAGATGCTCAAATCTTACACTACACTGAATCACTCCGCTATGTTTCACTCACTATGCAACTTTTATTAAATGTAGTGGCATAAATTGAACAAAAGTAGTCTATTTAAATATGAAGGTATCACAACAGTTTAAATGTAGGTCAGATAGCGCGCAGGCGTATAATCTGATTAGACTATTCATCATGTGAGAAAAATACCCCTACTACGGATGTTTTTACAGCATGAGATTTTACACCAACAAATACCCTTTATTAGGAAATATTTCTGTTCCATTGGTTTCCTACTTTCGCTGTGTAAGCTAAGTGTGAAGACCCTCAAAGCGTCAATGAAGATTCGGTTCAGCATAAAATAGTGCGAAAACATGATTGTATTATTTAGCTACGGGCACGATCGGTCTGTTCAGCTACCCTTTTAATTGTAATATTTACAGCCATTGCGCAAATACCTTTCAAATAGTGAAAATGGAATGAGTCAAGTCTCCAGTTCAAATAATCACAGAGCACTCTGCACGAGGAGATCGATGTAGTGCAGAACGACATAGCTGGATTGATGGTTCATGAATAGATAATTTATGTCGCCCAGGCTCAGCGTCACAAATCCAATTTTCTAACATTGACACCACCAAGGACCTGGCATCATTGCGTGCGCCTTGTTTTGCTCGAGCCTTCCGACACACAGTCGACCGTAAATCAATTGTAAAATCATTGGACACAAACGTGTCAAAAGTTTCCATGTAAATTACACACAATTAAATAATTACGTTTCTGTATGGCCAGTATAACATTCACGTAACAGAAAGCAGAAGGTACTCCTTTAAGCGTATTAACATCATCAATCAAAGTAATATCGCCTTTTCTCAAGTTAAAATGGAAAAAATGGCCAATGATGAACCCGAGCTTTAAGTTGGGACTACAGTATCCATTATTTCTTTCCGATACAATGTAGACAGATGTTTCCCCTGTTTTCTTGAGAATACATTAAGCTGCCAATAATGCACCTTAAGGCTGAGTTAATATTTATCATTATGGGCCATTATTTAAAGCGTAGGTTCATTTATTGCTTTACAATTCCTCTAGAATAAAAATAAGCCAGCTTATTGGAAGAATGAGTATACAAAATTATCTCTCACTGTTTAATTCACCTTAACTAGATGGAAACTATAAGTGAATTGACTTAAGATATTTTCTTTAATCTCCTCGCCATCTTTAATATTTTATTGCCGCAAAGTACCGTGTATGTTTAAATGAATCTGTGGGTGTGAACACTAGTGATTGTACAAACCAAAATAAATGTTTATGCTACCGCCAAAGCCTTATAATTTAAGTGACTACTACTATTATTAACCAGAATACAGAGAGCATGAGCATGGCACATTAGAACAGGCAAAGAATCGTATCAATGATGATATTTACTTTATTTAAATATAACGTGCCAACCACCAATATTGCGTTGCCCAGTCCCATAAAAATGTGCAAAAACAAGCTTACAATCATACTTTAGATTTGAATAACACCTACAAACACTCATGAACAAATGCAGGACTTGGAATAAAACAAGCACAACGTAGCATCTTTTGATGAGCGGCTAAAAATCCTGTCTATAATTGAAAAGTCTGCTTTGTCACTTGGTTTCAAATACCAAGCTTAGCGCTCTTTAGTATTTACACTCAGATAATGACCTAAGACATTTGGGGGAGTTATTCCAAATTTTACAAAGTCGATAGCTCATTCAATTGCGTTGGCGAAGGGTATGAAAAATGCAAATAAATGATACAATGAATAAAAAAACGTTTTGCTTCCGTTTATTGGCACAAACTGATGCTTCAATCGTAAAAAAGAGGGCTCCTTAGGTCAAGTGTGTTCTTATTTCACTTACCCTCCCCTCAGCTTAATGCTACTGTGAACACCTTTTATCCATCTTCCATTAAAAATAATTGTAAAGCAAATAAAACAGCGTTTTGAAATTTAGTTTTTAAGCTATGCGACAGAGTATAAAATGGTGGGCGGTTTATGAGGATGGGAGCTTCTGGCTATTTAACCTGTTGAAGTTCGCATTCATTTATACGTTTCTGGAAAATTAGCAACACATGGAAATACGCATATTTCTCGTTCCTGTGACCCAACACTTCAGTCATTCTCGCGACCGTGACAGCAGTGTGTGACTGAGAGGACATATGCTGCATCGATGATCACGTTAAAATATCACACTCTGTTTCGGCGTACTTTGAGACGTCGTTTTTAGAGTGACACTGTTACTGTTCATCGTTTTAGTCTACATTTCGTTTGGACGCAATTCGTATGTCACCGTCTGATTCCATTTAAAGCGCTTTCTTTCCTTCTCTGTGTAAAAAGTGTGCTGCAAGTTTTCTACAGACTACGAGTGCATCATCCATGCAAACAATGCGCTATGTTTTACGACCTGATCACCACTGAAAGACAATGGAAATGCTGCGAATGTACGTTTATTGCATACTCTTCTGAAATGAGGTATATGAAGGAAACTGACAAAGTACTAAATATTATTTACCCGCTACAAGATGATTCGCCTCAATTTAGTAGCAATAAACTAGTACAATAGGTAACTTGGCAATCGGCAACAGTAAGCTAACTCCAGAAAGATTGGAAAAATTGGGAAAGTAAAAATTCAAGTAACGCTGTTTGTTTTTGGCTCCAATTGCGGCAGCATGCATGACAATTTTAACCAGACCAGTCACTTCATCAATGAAGAATTTTGATCGAAAATTTAGGCTATTTACTAGAAGGAATATGTAGAATATTTATGCTGTAAGGTGTTGGGACGCACCAATGCGGGTTGATCATGCAAATGGCTACAGAACAAAAACATATGTGTTGGCGGTGTCTTCGCTCAAGACACCCGATTTGGAAGCTCGAGACCAGCGAAAGATCAGGCATGACTAAAAGACAAAGTGTACCTGAACTCGAGAGATGGCAAGATCTGCTTAGTTCCTGGTCAACGACAAACTACAGAAGGCAGTGGGGTGGGGAATAAATATGACCTATACACACGGTTGGCTCTATTTGACCATGCATTCCTGCATATAAATCAGGCTAAATCTGGCAGATAGTGTGTTGGCCTTTCGTTGTAGATGGGTCCCACCGGGGTTTTGATAATGACGACGGTACAGCATAATTCAGGTGCATTAAATGTTACTTACGTTCGAGATGTTCGCCCAATATTTCCATTTGCAAGACTCCTTAAGCTCCCATTGACTTAAAACGGCATCCCATAAACAACTTTTTTGCTAATCAAAAAAGAATAGCTTTGAAGCCCTCTATATTGACCCACTACTGGTCCCTAAATGGTTTCCCAAAAACGGCTTTAGAAATCTTTTAAATCCCAAAAGGAGCTAAACTCAGAAAAGTGTTTTTTGACAAATAAATAAGGACTTTGTGTCCAGTTGAAGAAACCACCATCAGTTCTTTCTTGTTTATCATCCATTTGTCATTCCTTATAAGTGACCTTCCTTAATGAGTAGGAATCGCTACACAGGGATGCCACAAAGTTCCTTGGAGTCTTAGTCAAAAAACTGAACAAAAAACCACGAAGTCGCTTTTAAAAATGGTGGTTTGTGTTCCAAATTTATACCCAATAAATTACAGTACCCATATTCATGCTTAGATGGAAAAGGCCTTAAATCATCCTCGACGCAATTATCAAGTAGCATATGCACTTTAAAGCCCCGTGCAAAATATGGACATCTAAAACGCCTTGAGTAAATTACTTTGCAAATTTTTGATGTTTTTTTTAATAACATCAAACATACTCACACGTAACTGATAAATTCAGATAAGCTGAGTTTTTTCACAAGTAAGGACAGCGAATTAGAAATAAACTTTTTTGTAATCCTGTTGTTCAAAGACCGTGAATGCGTTTAGCGTTACATGTGCTTAGCGATCGCCTCATCATAGCCATTTAGGCAAGTGCTAAGAGGCAGGGAGATTATGACCATTTTGTTTATTTAAAGATTGAAGGCAAAACAGGCTTCTAGTTAAAATTTGTGATTATCACAATTAACTGATCCTAAAGCATTTCAAGTTCGAGGATAAGAAGACCAAAAGCGCAGAACCAGCTTGAGCTTGTAAGTGTTATCGTAACGTTTTGCACTTTATTCTATCTTTCGAGTTATGGTAATGGGTATGGCGTCCTTTTAACACCAATTGCACCTTGGGCAAGCATTTCTTCTTAAAATTAGTAAAAATCGAAATTGCCCAACATGAAGCGTCAAAAATAAAAAGGATGTAGTTGGCAAATTAACTCAGCTGCTCATTTATTGCACGAGAAAGTCGGAAAACTCAGCCTAGATTAATTGCAGAAAACAATTCACTGAACATGGCCACTTTAATGCTTATCATACAAGCTCGAGCTTCGTTTTACTCGGCAAACTAACTAAGGCGTAACAGATTAAAGTTTATACCGTTAGTGCCGTGAATATTCTGACAGTAAACTCATCAAATGTCTAGATCACTTTACCGTCTCTGCTTTCGTTTGAACACTGACCAATTCTTATACCTCATACAACGTTATCAACATTCAAGCATCTCCACATCTCTACTGTAAAATTTTATTATAAGAACTTGTTGTTATCCTTAAGATAACCCATAATTAAGTTATTTCTTGTTAGAATCAAAAGTGGTTTTACGAAAAACCTTGCCATACTTATCACCTTACCAGACAAAGGTTGAACCCTGAGAAGTCTTGAAAAAAAAATATTAGGTGGAGATGATTATTCTCGTCCAAAAGCTCCTAACTAAATGGAATTCACAAATACAGTATTGCATTTTATCCTATTTGAGAGAGCATTAATGTTAACCGTAGAAATGAGCCCATGTAAAAGTGGGGCCCTTATCACAAAGACTCACGTAACCCAAATAATCACTGGATAAGCTGTCTTACTTGATACAGCAAGGTTTTAAAAATGTCCTAATTCACTCCACCACTCGATAAATGGGGGTGTCACTTTTAAATCTTTTTACTAAATAGCCAGATCTTAGCACCGTCACATCAATTCTTTCATCAATGCACATAGGATTCCTTTGTGTCTCACTCTGCGATTATCTCAAATCAACACTTTGAGGTCAGTAGTTTTACTAATTCCTTTACTAATAAAGACATTTGTTTTAAAGCATTCATCTTGGCTTTGAAGCGATAATAAAATTGACACCAATAGAATCATTTCTCATGTAAAGCTTGGTCTTGGCCCTAATCCTAATCCGACAGGTATTTACCGTAATATTTCGAAAATGCTGGGTTTAACTTCTTACTCATGCATCAATAGATTTATGAAAGCAAGATTCATCAATGATATTTTTGCTTGCGCCTCTCGTCAATATGCGTTGAATGAATTCAGTCATCAGAATAGCTCAATTAATTTCTGTTGCCAAGACGCCTGTCTCCCAATAAAAACGTCAATGAAGCTTCCTTATTCTAAAGAGCTAAGACTGAATGCACATTGAGTGGTCATCCCTGTTTGGCTAAACAGCAGCTAGAGGGGAAACTCTTAAACTCAAAAGGGGTAGGGGGTAAAGTTTAACCAAAAATTTCCCATAGTATTTTTCACAGCTTTGTGGCGATTAGTATTGTTCAACTATAATAAGTTTTCCGAAACTTGACCCGGTTCAAATAAGATGCACAAATTTTAATGTAGATGAGAATTGAAGGGCTCAGATAGCTAAATATTTTTCGGCTTTTTCACGATTACTTTGATGTTTATGACTTTTAAAAGAGGCTGTGTACAATTAATTGATTTAAGCAATTACCCTTAGACGATAGGCTTTGCTCTGTTCTCTAGTGTTAGAAGCCAGCTCATAATCCTTTAACTACTTTCTTTTACGAAATGAAACAGCTCCTCATTTCAATGGCCACCCAGATTGCATCACGGCTTTGTCTATTATCAACCAAACTGGGCCGCCGGCATAAAGCTGTATTTAAGAGATATACTCCATCCAATCCAACTAATATATTTTCCTTTTAATCCAATCTCGCCTTTGTTAATTATTCTTAACAGCATAAGTTCTTTGAGCGCTTTTATTTGAAAATCGAGGAAATTTACACTTAGGCAAAGCACTCCCAAAGTGTTGAAAGGCAAAGGTACTCAATTCTACCAAGTGTGTAAGTAGTTTGCAAGACAATCCCATGTAACATGTAACTAAAACAATTGTTATTATTTAACAGGGTATAAAAAAGGCACAAGTTATTGACTCGTTAAAAAGCGCCTGTGGAGGGCAAGAAGTCACATAGATTACGCTATTAATGTGCCGCAAATAAACCTTCCAACCGTGAACTCAATAACATTTACTGTTGTTTTGGTAAAATACTCAGACAGGTGTAAGCATTTTGGCGGTGTATTCAGCTAGAGGTTAAAATTTGTTCATTAAAAAGTACTAAATATTTTAAAGTTTGTTGCGAATCAGGCTTATAAGAATTTAAACAGCCACTACACTGCTCACCACTTTCTGGTAAAGAAAGGTAATCATTAATGCTGCACGGATTATTGGTGCTTTTGTAAGAAATTTAGGCAAGGAACCAAGAATAATCTTTTTAGGGTTGAGTAGTAGCAAATCACATAACTCTCAATATTACTCGCCATACAATGAAAATGTTTACCCTCTAAGATATACGGAGTTAGATCAATGGATAGTTTTTGCACTAAATTACATTGCTCGACTTCTGCGCAAAACAGATTTTTACGTTGCCCAATTGCACAGCAAGGTCTTATCGATAGTATCATTCGTCTAGTGCAGAAGTCATAAAATAAATCCATTCAACTGCCTCTGCTCACAGTCTTATGCTTCTCACATTATCTAGACTGTATTGTTAAAACGAACAGCAGTTAGCCTCTCTTAATTTATTTACTTCACCTCTTAATGCCGTATTTTCTATGCTGCAATCGACAGTGTCAAAGGCGAACGTATTCATCTTCTTTTTGATAAGAATAATAATATTGATGCTGCCTATTAGCCATACAAAGATGTCGGTGTTAATTCAATAACACACGATTATCAGACTTCATAGATATATCTGTCTTATATCTTTACCTGAATGCCATTACTTTGACCTAATTGTTGGGATTAAACTAATGAAAAATCTTTTTATTTCGATACTAAGAGGATCATTGACTGGATATCAATGAAGCCAGTTTTCAGAAAAATTGTGTTTGAAGTGGAATTAGTTTTGCACACATCATGATCCGACTATTTTCTCGTTTACTAACAAGTTGAGTTCAGTAAGCACTTCAAATTATCGCATCGAATACTAATCTGAATAGTTACTCAATTTTCCTCTTGGTGGCTTATTCAACAACTATCCACAGCCTGTTCAAGTAGCTCTAGTCGGATTAGGAATATGGCCACGATTACCTGTGATTACATTAAGTGCCCCTTTGAAAATCCGTGTTTTGGGGATTGAGTCTTGTCTCGATTACAAAATTTGCCTCTTATTATAAAGTCATTTCCCCAAGGCCGATCATTCTGCTATCCCTCTTCATCTAAAATTAAGTGATCACACTCTATGACACGGAAATAATTGAACATTTTGAGAAACAAAGTACCTTTGGAATGTCGCGCAATTGTAAATAATTTATTTTACTTACTTTAAAGACGCTTCATTAATTTAATGGAATGCTAGTTTATTAAATTGTATTATACTTTGCCCATATCTATTTTCCTCTTTTCAACAATTAAAGTAGAATTTCTTTTAAAAGAGCTAGCTGGAATATAAAATAGATCCGACGCAGAAATTGTGCCACAGTAAGCACCATTGACCCGTAAAAATGGATATTAAAGTAATTCAATGCAGGCTGTGAGTAATTTCTCAAAAAATAACCAAATCTTTTGGAGGCCCCATGAAACCACTTATCATCGCTAAGGTACTGGATTCAGGCTAAAACTCGCCATAAAAATTTATGCGTAAATTTGAAATTAATAAATGCTTTTTGATTAGTATGGCCTTCCGTTTTATGGATGCACTATTGAGCATCAACTGGCATGTGAATCCAGACACATAATTACGCAAGAATAACGAGTCGAATACTTTCTACCAATACTTACAAAAAAGGCTCATTCGATTTCAAAATTAAGTCATTCAGTTATGCTTCTGAGATTTTAAGTTTGAAAAAGGTGCTTTAAGTGATAGGCTGCATTAAGGAACTATTTTGGGGGGCAAAGATGCAGGGGTAATAATTTGAGTGCTATAGTTATCATAGTAATATGATAAGATCCACTTGCAACCCAGCTAATTTGTTTATCAAATGCGAGCTGATTGTTGGGGCATTCGAATTTCCCACTGGATTCGTGGCAGTGACGGAGTGCTTATTTTTCCATAAACCATCCGACTTTTTTATTTCATTTTTGATTGGAGAATTTACTCATTCAGTTGTTAAAGTAATTTATTCAGTATAACATTGAATCAACATGAAAACAATCTGTTAAGTTCTCCTTAACAAAGTGCCAATTAAATCATGAGACTAGCCTGTATCCTGATCTTTAGTACTCACCGACTTCTGACCGTACATTTCACCTAAAATCATTATCATTCATGGATAAAAAAGCATTCACTTAACATATACCCCAATACTTGCATTTGCACAATTAAAGGAGCCTAAGAGGGCCTAAATATTATTTTACTAATCTGACAGTACGCACAATCACAGATGCGAGTGCATCACACCTATCAGTGGTACCCCATACAATGAAGTTGGCCAGACAATTCAACTGTTTCGTATTCCCTAGACGCCTTACTGTGAAAATAAAGGTCTCTCTTGTCTTAGTCTATTTTAGAATTAAAAAAAATGAACATGCAAGAAGAATGACAGTGGACACCTTACAAATGTAAATGTGGAAAGTAACAATTTTGGGAGTTACTCATAAAATTACTAAAATGAAGTTCGTTGTTTTTTTCAAGATTAAGAAGGACCATATTGCTGTGTCAATGTGTATGACTGGACGCCGGTGAGTTTTCTAGATATATGGGCTTCCTATTTCTTAAAAGTGGGTATTGTTTTGCAAATACTCAAATGAAAGGACCTGACTCATAAACCCCACATTTGGGTTCATAAATTGGACGAAAAACAATGCGAAGAGGCTCTCTCAGGCAGACCACTTTTGAGCAGCTTTCAAGGGTAGGCTTGATTGCAAAGTCGTAGCAATGGTAGTTTAAATGCTTAAAATGATCTGCAAATGCACGATTCCAGTAGTTAATGTCGCCCATTTATTTCTTATTCGTGGTTTGCAGTAAATGTGACATCTTGCACAGCAAAAGCATGTTCTCATTCATGACAGTCTTATCTTAGTTAGAAAGGATATGAGTGAACGGTCTTGTGACTCTCGAGTCATATAGATCAAGCTTCTCGTTTTATGTGTGGACGGTGAGAAACAACGGGGACTTGGTTTCCCGAATGTTAATCTATAGTCATAGTTTTGGACTAACATTGACTTGGTTTTCAGGTTAGATAAGTGATTGCCTTTATTGCTATTGTTGTAAAGGACGCATTAAAGTTTAATGCTAAAACGACAAATATTTTAGATGAGACCGATGATTTTGCACATATTTACCAATTAGTCGTAACGCAGTATCTTCTTTTGACATGTCGTCAATGATTTGACCATCTATTTGGCTCACTAACGGTGATTGAGATATGAGACGTCGGCAATAAGCACAAATTGCTTAAATATTGTATGAGCGTAACGCGTTTATTTATATGAAGTAAAAGCTTTGTTAGAATCACGGCAATGAATTGCTAATTCCACGTTAAAAACGACGAGCAACTGAGGCGGCCAATGATGAGGCTAAGGAGATTTAATGACTAATATAGGATCTTGCTGCAGCCCTAGTACTACTGCTAATAGTAAGTTTGGTTGAGAAAAACGCCTGATAAAAAACAAAACCAGTATTTATACGTCTGGGCACGATAACTTATTGCGATTTTTTCAAAAACTGGAAGAACAATACGTCGTCATTAAAACTGAAGTTAGATAGTAAATATATACCACAGAACTGGTCTATAACTATTTTAAAGCGTCCACCTTTCTTGTTATCACTTAAGTAGTCTATTAATTCCCAAGAGGGAGAGAATGGGCGCATATAAGTAATGTTATCAACAAATTTTCGCCCCTTTTCCAGATTGCATCGTAAAAGCCCAAAAGGCAGACCAATGGATTCTCCTTAAACATGGATGATGCAGCCTCGATCACAAGATTCAAAAGGATCTGCGCTTGCTTGTCTACCTTAAAATCGCCTAGCTCCAACTAATGTAACCGTAAATAAACAGCATCCTTATTTTACCACTTCAAAGCTTAGATTTTACACCTAAATCTTATCTGCTACCGAATGTTTTACCAATAATGTTGTTCAAATGAGTGACAGTGCAAATTTTGGCATTCGTCATGCATTTCGTCAAAAAATTTTACCCATGAGACACTTTTCGGTATTGAAAAACAAAAATGACCGACTAAAATATCAGTTCTAGAGCCCTATCACTCAAGGTAAAAATGACTAATTTTTCGTGCTATTTATTAATAACCAAATATTTGCCCAAAATTAATTGCTTGGTTTCAAATGAGCAGTCGTAAGGAGCGTCTCGTGACGAGTTTCTATTTCGCTTTACAGATTTGGAGAAATTATGATTTTTTTTACCAAGATCAATGAAAAATGCGGGCGTTTGAGCACTTTCTTGCGGGGTTTGCTGAAGTTTAGGACACTTCCAGTTGATATCCAACATTCTAAATTGAAACCACTTCTAAGAATTTGAAGATGAACGGTATAAAATCTCTTATCTGGGTGTAAAGTAATCTATGACGATAACACCGAGCTCATGCAAGGTAAATTTGAGTACTATAGTTATACATGACCCGAAAAGACCAAATGCCCAAGTTAGTTTTTATAAAATTCACTTGGTAAATAATTTAAGAGGGTAAAATATTGGACTAAAATGTTCCTTAAGTGTTCCGATGTGACTAAAATGATGACAAAATGAACGATTAAAGATTGCGTGCCCAATCAAAGTAAACAGATGTCAGCCTATCCACACGCCACCTGTAGAAAAAGAGCAATAAGTTTTAACTCACAATAGCAACCATTCCTTATCCAAGTCACGCATATGGCGCAATTAAATAATACCTTGAAAAATCATAAAAGATGAACTTAATATTGCAAACGACAGGATTTCCTTTACTGATCAAGCTTTATGCCGTATCGGTTTTCCACCACAACAGCGCACTTACGGTAATACCTCCCTCTTTCCTGTATGCGTTTTAACACGAACTTTGCAAACCGCTTTATGGCAGCATTCAACTTAACGCTGCGAGTGTGAACCTCAAATGTCAGTCAAATAAACACGCAAGTTGGATTTCACCATATAAACCAAAAGTTGGGCTCGGATAGGCTTGCGTAAGAAGGTTAAATGTTCAAGTTAAGCATTTTATCGTATTTAAAATGATCGACACATCCGCTACACAAGATGATGAATGATATAATAGGCATTCCTCATTGACCTCAAGGCCAATACGAAAGTTTCTGCAGGCCGCCTAGCATTGCCTTGGCACATGAAAAGTGATTACCAACTAATATTGGTACACGGGTTGCAGCTAGATATCGACAAGTATTACCAATAAAAAATCATAATACTTTCATCAAGCAATTAACTTCATTAAATAAATCATTCCTGATACTTTTTATCGAACTGGTAAGCAAACCTTATTGGAAATTACAGAAGGATTTCATGAAAGTAAAGTGATTTTGTAACGATCTAATGGTCCTGCATCAAGAGCTAATTGAATTCAGATGCACAAATTTGAATTTTATGCTTTATCAAACCGCCGCCAACACATTTTCATAGCAGTAGCACAGTAGCTCATGAAGTAAGGAAGCTCGATTTCAAGTTCAGGGGTCCATTGAACATAATAAAAAGACTTAAGTTTACTAAGTCTATCCGAACATTTCCCGATAAACGAATGCACACGAACCTAATGAACACGCGACCCGCAAAGCCTACTTAGTGCCTTTGGCGAGTAACACTTGAAAATATTAAATAATGCAGCACTGCGTCGTTGATACAGTGCGCTTTGTAATATGCACCCGCTAAACTCCATTCAAAGGTAATGTTAACGTTCATGAGTCAGCAGAAACACAAATTCTGTAATCTGAAGACACACACGGAGCAAGTGGTTAGAGGGAAAATCTACTTAGAAACCATAGACTTTTAAGTGAATTCAAGTGAAAACACCCACAATTACAGTAATGGGTTTTAGCTTAATTAGTAAAAAATTGGAAAGGAAGATTAACCGAGTTTAATAAAAGTAGTTTGCCAGTCCTTTGTCAAGAGGGGCAATCCAAATCGGCCGAATCTAAATTTAAATATATGAGAGGAAATATTGGTAATGCAATTTTTCGCATTGTTACCACAGGAGGGCTTTGTTGGTCCATGCGTTATTTGATGCTGGCATGGGCCTTAAGGTGTCAGTAGTTTCTACCTACGCACAAAATACAAAATATTTATTTCGCACGTAATTGTTTAATGCCAAGATGAAAGGTCACCATGCGTGTCTAAAAACGCCACATCAAAAAAAAGCAGGAAATGGGACGAATTAGAATTATTCATATAACTATTGATAGTATATTGCCATGCGCCCGCAGATTAAAGAAGAACCGACTGGCACGTGCCGACCCGATTCATTAAGTCCTAAAAAGGTCAGGCCTAGCGGCAGGGACCTGTCTGTCGCTTATTAAAGTTGAAGAGGAGAAAGAAAGGCCATGGTTATTGTGAGTTCAAATGAACGGGTTGCAAGGTGTAGCAGTTTTTATTGAGAACTGATGCGTCCAGGTGGTGCATTTGATGGAGGGAACTTTACTTTGGCAGAGAATCGAAGAGGGAAGTGGAATTTCCTGCACGAAAGCATGCAGCCATATAAGACGAAAATATTAATGCAGCATATTTCATCACTTGATTGCGAGGTTCATTCTCGCTTGGCTACATTCACTATCGCATAGGCCGAGATTCCAGCAAACATGAAAGCGTTCTTTGCCTACCGGAAGTATCTGTAGATGGGGCAACACTGAAAACAAGGCCCCAATAAACTACTGCTTGATCAACGAAAGGAAGAAAATAAATAATACTACCGCATTCCAAGAGCGAACGCCTTTTGCATTTAAACTCTACCAATCTTATTCCACTCATTCAACGCGTTTTATTACTTTTATAGGAAATATTGAATGGTTTCAACTGGTTCTGCCATCCTTTGAAAGATAGTCATCAAAGTGACATCTACTTCTTTCTTATTTATCAATAAACAAGAGCGTAGTAAAATACTTTGAAAGTAGCTACTGAGATTTCCGAGTGTCCTTATGGCCGTATCTACATATACACAGCAGTGTATATTAAAATAAACCACAACCCATTTGACGGTTGAACTGTTCCTCATGGCTCAAATACAGGGAATTATATTGCTAAACTTAACACACCTTGGTCTAAAATCACCATTTATTTGAAATTTATGCATAAATGTGGTAATATTCATAAGTCTAGTCATCGGCATTGGCGATTGAACACGCTATGGGATTTATGACCACTTAATTCGGATCCATAGGCTAGGAGTTAGAGCTGTCTATTATGCTCAGAATGAAACACTTGGACCTTTGGCATGCAAAACCGCGCGCTAGAAAGGTTATGGCGAACACAAGTGACGGCGAAATCCCAACCATTGGGTCTAATCTATAGTAAACTACAAAAGAGAAATGGGATTTTTGATGGTTTCATAAATCATCCAACTTCATTAATTGATAATTGACTCCCATTACCCATGGAATCTGGTTGAATGTCAAAAAACCCCAATACTATGACCGTGCGCCTTTTTGGAAAGTAAAAATGTCTTATTCAGAGGGGAAGTCTCTAATTTATTGCATTGTCATAATCTTTTCATGATGCACTTACACATCAGTCCATAGTAAGATGGACCTAATTGCACAATGAGGAACAATTAATCTTCCAACTCGGAACGTGCACCTCGCAAACCGAAGCATTTAGGAGTGATAAGGACACTAGCCTCCTCTACCCAGATTAAATAGATCATGGAAAAATCCTAAACTCACCAATGTGCCACAAGAGTAAGGGTGAGTAGACGGAATTAAACAACAGCCAGATTAAATCTGTTAGTCACCACAAAGCATACTATGAGCAAGTAAAGGAGAAAAGGACATTTAAGGCATGTGACTGTTAGAAACGCAAGTACCTTTTGCATAGAAAAAAAGTTCATTGGGGATATACAGATGCCTATGCAAAGGAATATACAAACTAGATTTTAAAAAGTGGTTTTTTTAAGCGGAAACAGCTGCACTTCCAAGCGAATGATGTGGTCGCCATTTTGCGTATATAACTTGGCTGCCTTATGCACAGAACAGACAGCTACCTTTTTTTAAATTTATTCAATTAACGCTACCTCCACTTACAGGCGAATAAACTCTAAATAAAACAAAATTCGTAATACAATTATGGCATCAATATCATTTCAATGAACATGCGTAACCTGAAATAACCAAACTTTTATTTTTTTGTTTACCTATAAACTCCACTAAAGCCCTGTAAAGAAGTCAATCCTACGAAGAACAGTAATGCATTAAATTAGTGTTACTGCCTTGAGATTTACTGAGTTGTTATATACCAGTAGATTTTTAAAAAGATTACAAAATGATATCTCAAATGCCCTGCGCGAAATGAGGACTTGAAAACTTGTAAAGGGTCAATGTGGTGGTTAGTCATTCTCAAGGGAATCATAGGGCTTGATTCAATGATGTTTAGTTCAAAAGACAGCCTCAGTGGTTCTAAGATGAGCTCTTGTTGATGGACTAATTGTAAGTAAAATGACACTAAGCAGGTTAGCATTGGTCAGATCAACTATTGAATGTGTTTAACAATCGACTTTTGGAATGCGAAAACGCCAATTTAGACGCGATCATGTGCTAGCTTACTCCGCGCACAAAAATCTTCTACAGTATGCCCCATAACATACATGGAGGATGATGGTTCCACATTAGCCAGCATGCAATCACGTGATCCGCGAATGAGGAAGCCCATGAGCAAGTCATTGAAATATGCAACTCAATACATTTCAGGTGTGGTCTTCATATGACAACTTTCCACACTGTCGAACTACTTTTAAATCCCAGGAATCTTCAAGCACTAATTAATCATCATCTGTGTGTTTCTTCTATGTGCAACGATCTGTTAGTATCTCGGGGTTTTATGCGAAAGGAGGGTTGTAGTTGCGAGTGCGCAGTAAGTTTTGAAGCGAACTTACATGTACAGACTCTTCCAGTGCGAGGTCCACCACAGCATGCGTTTATTATGGCTGAAATTGAGAGATTACCACTAGTATACTGAATACAAAGGTTTAAATGCTTGTCTTGCCAACTATACCACCATGCCATAAAGGATTGCATCAACTAAAAACGGTACTAATGTAAGCGTTACAAGAACAATCATGATCAGAGAATTTCATACCAAAATTAATGGTGCATTGAAATGCATAAATTTGGTCAGAATCATGAATCCAACCACCTATTCGTTGCACGATGGCTCATGTTTACTGAAGTTTGAACTAGATGCATCAAAATCCACTATATTCCGCATTGAGTAGGTCTCTATTGCTTCCCCACATTTCTTATCAACTTGGAAGTAATAATTCCTTCGAAATACTCACCTGGTATTATCCGACGGTGCTAAGAAAATTAGCCCTGTAGGTTCTCTCAGTTGCGAGCACGTCCCATAATTTAAAAACTAATTCAATTTGCAGTTAGTAGGTTTGCAACCTTTAACTTATTTAAAGTAGTAGGATATCGGGTCTCGGCTTATATGAGGTGACAATTTGCTAGCTTTGCTGCCCTGATATTCTTCAACCCAACTACAACTAGAATACTTAGTCTATCATGGTTTTACGCGTCTACTACGCCCCAAGACCTCCGTTCGACACATAAATTGGTGAAGTCTCCGAACACATTACTGAATAACGTGTAAATACCTGATTTCCTTCACGATGTCAGTGAATATGACTGCAACATCTCCTCTGACTGGGCTGCCACAACTATTTACACTTGCGCCACATGCCACACGTCCCATACGCACGCTACTGGAAGGTTGTGGCAGCATCTCTTTAGTGAAAACAGCCCACACTTCCTAGTCATATCACATTGCAAATTTTGAGGGACAGCAGCGCCAGCGGCTCCGCCTAATGTTGCACACCCCTTGTGCGTTGGAAACGGGTACGCTTGTGAACCAACCAGCTTTAAATGGGAGTGCTTGCCACTCACAATAAAAACGTCTCCAAATATGGAAAAAGTACAAACGACCAATCCCTAAAACAGTCCAGGCCAGTCTACCTTGGAGACAATTTATAGCATTAATCCTTTCATGTTCATGTACGACAGCCCTCCAGTATACATGGTACATTTCCTCCGGTTGAACATGCACTCGTCACAAACATGAGCCACTGCCTCAAGCATCTCTTAAACCGTTACATTCAAAATTGAGCAAAACATTTAATTACTCGAATTTTCAGTTACAAATGTTTAGCTCAATACAATCGCAGGTGACTCACTTTGATCCCCTACTAACGCCACAATTATCACTTCAACGAAGCACACGAAAACAATCGCCGAATGAATCGTCACCCAGGATATCCAACTGCTCTTCACTGCTTCATTTTTAGAACAACTCTTACCTAGCTCTGAAAATGGAGCTTGGGATGCAGTGCTACCGTAAAAAGCCCCAAACTAAGGATGCATAATGGCACAACGATTTCGTAGAAAAATACGCATTTTTTGTATCACAATTAAGCCTACAATACCAACCAAATATTACGTTTTCGAGTACATCTTAGGTCATAACGATGCCTGCTAGATTACTATTTGCCTTTAGGGCAATATAAAACTTTACAACATTCGTACGTTCTTTTGACAAGCTCCAAGGACAGCCTTTCTCTAGCACAAAAATAAGAGTGAAAGCTTATTTGGTTGCAATGCTACCGATTCATTAGGTAATTTTATGGCACATTCAACCTCAAAGCCATGTAGGAACAGAATTTCATAACCGACTCCTTAGTGGGATGTAGACAGGGCAGTGGGAGAAGGAGCCGATCGACCAAAGTAATACTGCTGGGTAGACAGAGGGGACGGATAATGCATATCATTAACATAGATGGAGTTATGTAGCCATCCGAGAAAAAAAGTAAACCTCACGACAAAATAACTACGAATAAAGTGCTTGTGAAGAGGGGACGGAGGAAAGGAGTTCAGCAATAGCGAGGAAGGGAATGAAAGAGCATTGCGGTGCCCCGGCTGGCCACTTTAATACCAAAATTTCAGTTTTTTTGGCAAATTGCCGAGAGGAGAAAAGTTTCGCACGAATATTCGGATGTGTGGGTCGTATTTGTATCATCCAGGTGGTAATAACAGTAATGCAGAAAGGTACCCTTGTTTGACGAGGGTGCACCGAAAGACGGTATGGCGAATGATGAAGAGAAGAGTGAGGAAAGCAATGTAAATATCTGAAGTTGATAGAGTGGGTGAGGAAAGTGTGCGATGGTAACACGCGCCCACAATAAACCCGATCCACGGAATCGATGGCGCATGTGCGTGTGCCAACGCCTCTGGAATGGCGATGGAGAACAATTTCGAGTTCGTTCATGATTTGGGCGGTATGAGAGGGGAATGGATGATGAAAGGAAAATCCAATGCAACAAAAAATAAGAAATTAATCAGCATGCTTGAAAGGAATGCGTACGCACAATCAAATGCGTCAATATCACTAGATATTTTGTGATTATTTGTCAGGGCGACATCGACACAATTCCACACTAAGCAATGGGAGACGATAACAGCAAAGTAGGCTTATCTACTTCCCTAAACTGGAACTGTGTGTGATTAGCGCGATCGGAAAAAAGATCCACCTAGCTTTTGGTGAAACTGTACAGGATTGTCGGAAGAATTGCAACTGGTAGGAGGGAAGAAGAGGAAATGGAAACTGACGCAAAAAAAATGAGGGGCCCAGGCGAAAATGCGGTGCGAAAGGACAAACTCTAGGCAATTATTTGTGTATGTGTGTATGTATGAAGGTGTAGCACCGCCGTTTATGTCCTTCAATCAGACGCACCGGCCCGAAGAAATCCATTGTGATCATGTGGCTGTCTAAGCTGTGCGTCAGAGCTCCGAAAAGAAGCAGTCCCAGAAGTATCTTCCTGAGACGCGAATGTCGCTAGACGTTGTTTCAGATGCTGCAACTTAAAAGTCATCACCAGAAGACGCACTTCATCATCACGTCTTTCAGGTTTTCGCATGCAACTAAGAAATTCGTCTAGTTCCGTCGCCAGACGAGTCATTTGCTCCACGTGTGGACCACCGGCGAGAGCCAGTATGCGTTCCTTAAGATTTATGACCTTGTCCCAAGCAACACGAAAGTGCTCATAAAGGCGCAGATATTTGGGATATAGTGACTCAAAGGCTTCGCGGTAGGCTGCTGCCTGGCTAGCACTGGAAATCGCAGGATACAGTCTAAAATGGCGGAGAGGGTGAAAACATGTTACAAGCATATGTACGTGAAAACAGATTGCTGAGGGTTACCTCTCGATTTCAGCATTTTTGGACGAAACGCTGTCAAAAAGATAGTCTTCATCAGAGAGGTCAGAGGTTTTCTCCTCGTTGCATGGATAGAGCCGCTGTCCCTTATCTGCACAGAGTAGCAATTATTGATTGTCAATGACAGTGGAACAATTTGCCGGGACATTCAATTGCTTTAACTAGTTTAACAAGGAAACGTAGGCCATTGCAGGAAAATATCTTTGCAGTAATATCATCTCACCCACCAAGTCCAGAGCTTACTGAGAGATTACTCCTGTTAACAAAGTGATGAATATTTGGGTCACGTGATAACCACCAGCAAAGATATGGCCTAAGGAAGCGTGCGCACAGAGGCAGCAGATCGGTGATCGCTAAATGCACACATCATCACGGACAAAATTTTGGTCTAACGGACGCGATCTTCAGGCCCATCCTAAAGTACACAATGGCCTCGATAGCATTCTAGTTAAACCAACAAGCGTACGCACACGAGGAGGGCAATGTGTCCTGAACGAATATGGATGCTGAGTAAAATGCAGTATCAGCTAACGGTAAAATCAAAAATAAAGGAACCAAAAACCGCTTATGTACAATCTATACATGGATATTTTTGGCAATTCGCCTCTAGAATAAGGAGAGACCGCATTTGTGATGACATGAGGTGGATAAGAATGATTCTTGATGAGATAGTCATGGCAGGCGTGGATGAGGCTACCGCTCGTGCATCATGAAGTGCGCGTGCGTGTACGAGCATAAATAAAGGCTGCGCTTGACAGATAAGGATAAACAAGCACTATCGTATGCACACCTGCACATTTGCAAGTGAAACATCAAAAGAGGGATGGGAGCAGAGAAAACCAATTAGACGTACAACCAAAGCCAAGACCATGAAGGTGGAAGCCCTATAAATGGCTATTTGTCTTCTACATACGCCACGGGTCAACAAAACATTAACAAACTAGGAATTTGAATAGTACGGTAGGACCGTAGAACGCCTAAGTGTAATAGATCGGGAACCCCAGGATATTTTTAGCATTAGCATTATATGCAAGTTAAGAGTACTAGCAATACCAGAATACGACAGTGAGAAGTGAAAAGAGGTCAAGTTCGATATTTGGCAGTGTCGTTTGGTATTTGCGGCGCCTTATTCAGTTTGGTGCACTTTGAAGTAACAAGGTCATTCAACTCGGACAATAAGCAGTTTGGATGAAAGCTGAGTCCTGGGCTAGATCCAATTCAATTTCTGGGTGCAAAATTCTCACAGAGAATTATAATATAACGACCACTTAAATGGCTAATTGAATCAACCTCTTACTGCAATGAAATGAAGTTATATCGGCGGGAATTAACTGCACATTATTGAAATTATGAAAAAAAACACGTTATACAGTGTAATACAGCCATAAGCAAACAAAGAGGTGTTCGTGTGTTGGCATTAATAAGGCACAATGCTTGCGGAATTAGGCACATGCATGTTGGTCGCATAGTCGCAAGGTAAGGAAATCCAGGAATCCACAAAGCAACTTCCCTTTACCGTTTAATATGAAAATTCCTTAGTAAGCGCATGAACAAACCATAGAGATTCTTGTACTTTCTGGGCAGCTAATTAAATCTACGTCTTTAGCATGTGAACCTCGTTGATATCAAAAAAAATGCATAAGATGCAGAGATATAAGGAGGATAAGCTCACTGCGATGAATTCCTTAAGCTTGATTTTACAGCCTATATGCGGATCGTGAATCGCAAAAACATGAACCCGAATGGGCTTAAGAGAAGCATACCTGACTTAGGATCAATCACCGGTACACGAGCATAGAACTGTGACAGCGGGGTTGCCTCAACGAGAGGGCTACAGCTGTCGCCGCAGCTACTGGTCTCGCTGCCCCGGTCGCATGGACGATGCCGCTGAGCGCCAGTTGGGCGCTCGTCGACGGGGCGCAAAGAAAGAGAGCCAGTCCGTCTCGATTGGTCATCACTTGCAACGCCGACGCCACCAGCACCACCACCATCGCCTCCAATGCTGCAGAGCGCATCAAAAGGTCTCTTCCGGCTCGAGGGGGAGCGCTTATCAAGACCCAATGGAGAGGAATCTTTGAGGGAATTCGACAGGAGTGGAACAAGAGGCAGAGCAGCAGGAATAGCGGTTGTGCCGGAGTGAGAGTTAGTGGAGGAAGGCACAGATTGAAAAGAAAGGCAATTTCCCGAGACGGAGGAGGTGGAACCACAAGAGTGGACACCACTCTCATCAGATGAGAGTCGGGCGCGTTTGGAGACACTGGGTTTTGATGTGTTAGTACTGTTGCTGGCAGCGAAAACACAGTATGTAGCATTTTTGGATACATCCTGCATCGAGGAAAGTGGCGCAGCGGTAGGCTGAGGCATCGTACAGCCACGACGCTGAGAATACCTCTAAATTTGATAAGACATTTTCGTAGACACCAATGGAGGATCCATTTAGAACGCTAATGCTTGATCAAATCCATGTAAACGAAGCTCTTTATCGAACTCACAACACTCTGTATTTCAATAAAAAAATTCGAGTGGTAGTAGAACAGAAGTGCACTCATCACTTCCTCCAAACTTGAGTGCATAAACTAGACGCCTTGGGATTATCGAGCTGGTGATTGATCACACGCATACGTAAAGCTAAGTTCACTGACAAAATCGCGATTTTCAGAAAGGAGCGCTGATTTAATGACGTTGATGATCAGTTAATTTTCTCAAATAATGTGGGGCTAAACGAGTAAGACTTATGCAGATCTACCGAAGGGTCGTAAAAAAGAATACGTTACACCATGACAACATATCCTCAAGTGGATACCTGATTTGGGCGTGTCGATCACGAATTTCATCTTTGTGCAAATCGAATGAGAGACAAAGTCGATCAGTAAAATCACATTATTTCAATTCCTTCTCTGGAGCTCTTAGGTGGTGATTGCCATCGAAATATCTCAGAACCAATAACAAATCAACTAGTCCTGTTTATGTTACATTCAAGCTCATTTTAAAGCCTGTGTAAATAATCATGCTAACCAGTCGCAAAGTGGCCTCGTTATTCTTCCAGCTCTCCAAGAGCGTCAGGGTAATTCCATGATGGGCGGCAACAGAAGCCAAGGAGAGGCCTGAGGCGAGGAGATCCAGCGCTGCGATCTTCTTGCTAAGCGCATGCGGCGCCGAGGGGGCGCTGGCACGCGTCGGCTTCCGCCCAAAGTCCTCCACAGATGCCACCGCCGCTGTCGTTGGTGGCGCTATGAGAGGCGAGTTCTGCCTACTGCTCGGCGTCACACGGGAAGCTACACTCCCCTCTACGGAAAGGCGGTTTACATTGCTCGGAGAATTCGTTGACAGCTTAGCCTGTAAGCGCATCACAGTTGCCACCACACAGTATCTGGCTGTAAAAACTATCCTAAAACCTTTATTTTTTATTCCTTAACCTTCACTGACTTGGGTTTTTCTCCATTAGAAAGCTTCGATTGACTAGGAGTGAACCAAATCATAAGGTGTAGAAGTGGAAAAGAACAAAGAAGAGCTCACAACACCAATAAAACAACTTTTAGTGAACATAACAATTCGTGATTAATCGCTGATAATTGTATCGAATCGGAAGGCTCGAAAGATTAAACGACACAAGTGATCAGATTTTGCTTAATTAGCTAGGATCAGAGTGATTTACAGAGTAGTGAAAGTGGAAGGAGTGACAAGTAAAATAGGTTAGCCACATCAAGCACATGATTAATTTCAATCAATTTGCGCAGCCTACAGGTTGGATTGTACACATCTATTTGGCAAAACCCAAAATCTGAGGTCAGCAGGAAATCTGATAATCCTCGCTTAGAAAATGCACTGAAAATTATCACACCACTTTCCTGTTATTATAAAACCAGTGTTGCCTACCCAAATACCAATAATCTATGCAATATGATACAACTCCACCTAATCCATCGAATATAACGAGTTCAACAACAATGACTGTTAAAAACGTACTCGACGGAGCGTGCGGTTTTGAGGAACTGTACGGCAAGTTACGCGTACCAAACGCACAAGATAACAAATCAATAGCTTCCAGCTTGCAGGCATTATTCTGCATTATATTAGCAGGGAGTGTTTGTGCAGACGTGCTTGCATTTGGGCTATTCCAAATAAGCACATAAAATACATGAGTGATACGTTCATCGGTTATAACAGCAACGATGCCATTTCATGTATCAATAGAAATTGCTCCTAGGGCACTATACATGGATGTATTCAAATTGAGTAATAATGACATGGCAACTTGCCTTAAGAGACGCAACAGCACATCTTTCTGATGGAGAATACCCAGGCCAATTCGGTTCGATCAAATTAATAAACGTTGTGGAAAGGCGGTATTCGCCCTGCCTGCCGGATCGTCCTACCTTGCCCAGGATGCTATCAACTTCATCTTTCTGTTCGTCAGTTAGCCCATCTCTTTTTAGTCTCAAAAGCAGCTCTGGACGTTGATATGACTGAATGGCTAGTAAATGGATGATGCGATCCCTATAAAAAACGACTTTCTTAAATTTGCCATTAGGAGCAAAAACGTAAAAGGTGTAATTAAGCGGTTACCGTAATGAGCGCGCCCCAACTTCAGCATTTGCGGCAGCAGGACTATTGTACACATTAGCCACCGACGGGCTACAGCTCCGGGCAACAGACGAAGGCGAGATCCTCGAATCAGGATTGCGGGAACCGGGTGGGGTCGGGACGGAACGTGGGTTCAAGTTGCTATCGCGCATACAGGAACGCCTTACACTCGATACAAACGAGGGCTTTGAATGGCTTTTCCTATGATCCTCTGCTTCAGCCATTCTTAATTTTGCGGTAGAAAAGCTATCTGCATTCGCCTGAACCGTTAGCTTCGAAACGGCCTTTCCCAGATTGATTGCACGTAACCTGAAGATTTCAATTCAGATATGGAAAGAACTACTCACCCTAAGAATTGGATAACGTCGACAGTTCCATCGGAAGTCTGATGAAGAGGAGAAATACTCAGATCGTAAGAAACACAGGCTTGTTTCCCTGGGATATACAGATTCTAAACGACACAACGTAAGCGTGCGACTGACAAACTTACTCCACGGCCTCCATCAACTGAAATCCTAATTGGGTTGGACTTAAGTATAATTTATGCCAACAACGTATATCGTACCTGCTTAAGAGAGACGGTTTCAAGGCTCCTCAGAGCAGAGTCGGTCAATTTTACAGAAAATATTTCAATATCATCCCGTTTCGCTTTGCAAAGTTTATAGACGCTCTCGGACACAGTTTTCGCAGGCATGATATTTCTAAGGAAAGACAGAAAGCCTACCAACTGCGAGATACCGCTACAAACAGCTGATTTTGAAAAACGGGCGCGATCAAATCAAACAAACAAATTCACTCAAATTGATCTAATCTTATTTTTGTTACATAATAATCAATCAGGGCAAAAGGCATCACAATCTCCAGTTAATCCCCAACCTAAGGTGCCACTAATGCTCTTTCAGTAGTTCTCTTTTACAAAAGACCAATGTGGTTTTTCATCAAATTTACCCTGACATAGTGGAGAAGTATACCGAATTTCAATTCCTTAGCCATTTAACCTTCTTTGTTATCAAGATATATGCTTTTTATTAATTTGAATACACGACATACCTTTCTTTACGGAATTTCTTATTTGGTAAATACAGAAAAACAAAGGGCATGTTTTATCGGGTTATTTTACCTTATTATCTGTAAGTCTTCTATTACAGTGAGCTAAAATTATCGCTGCTTTTCTGTGCACTATGGAATGTCATGCAGCAAATTTTGCTCTTCCCTTTTTTAACCAATTATTCCAGATCTGTTCACCACTCGTTCAGTCTATGAATGCATTTTCTTAAGTGATAAACATGCCTTCATATTTGCCGGTCTTTTAACTGGTTTCCCAAATTTACTTGTATTTTCCACACTTTTGGTATTTATGACGATTTATTATCAACCATAATTAGGGGGAAGAAGGCGCGGTACTCATGCAGAATATGTATCATCAATGTACAGTAGGGCCTGTGGCTACTGGCATGGCCTGGAGGTTAATATGTCTGACGAGGGTACAATGTCCCGTTACTAAAACTGCTGGCTGGCAAATTATTACATTGCGTAGCCTCTCTCCTCAGCCCTCCCCTTGGTTAACCCCCGCCTCAACTAATCGCATCGTAACCGCGAGACATCCGTACCAATCATCAAATTTTCGTACAACTGAGAAGATACTTAATGGCAACATCACTGATCCCTTGTAGTAATTCTACTGTATGGGAACTGCATTGGGGAGACGGGAAATATGCTGTCCATAGCGCAAATCTAACGCTAGTTGTAGAAACACTGACCTAAAGCGGAGTCATGTAACAAAAGACAAGGTTTAAGGTAGTCTTTTGGGGATAGTGTTTTGCGTCCATTCTTCTCTGCCACTTTGTTCTCACTTCAAAACTACCCAGCCATATCTCTCTGGGTTCTACTTATCTTATAGGGGGATAAGTAGGTATAGCGTGTTCGTATAATTGATATCTTCATACGAATACGGCAGACAGCTCAGTGATTAAATTATCCAGAGGAGTCACGGTTGGTGTCGCTTCAGTTAATAGCTTTCCTGCAGACCACGGCCCTGGGATAGTTGCCGAAGGCGAACGTCATTTTCAGCCCTTCTGTTAGGGCTCGCCAAATAATCTTCCATCTGCAACAATATGCGTTTCTTCCCTTACGCCAAGGTTTATCAAACAGCTGTAGAAATCAGAATGATTGTCCTTTAAGATAGGGTTCGCTTTCCGCCGTCACCAATGTAGTGCCCCGAGACTTTACTGAAGAGGAAAGAAGACATAATACTCGAGCAGAGTGTGTATTGTCAACGTACAATAAGACTAAGGGGCTACTGGCCTGGCCTGGAGGCCACGATCTGAGAAACCCAAGGTTATACAATGCTTTTTCCTAGTCTCACAGCTTGTGCTTTTCAGTTGGTTAGATGTAGAACAGTGAATCGAAGGAATGTACTTTCGTTCCGTATCATATTGTAAGAACCTGAGATTAACAGTATGTAACAGTTTTCGTCTATCAAAACAAAAGTATGTAAGAATGGAATGGATACCCCTAGTAAATGCAACCATTGTGGTACATCAGGTAGGCAACGAATTTGTTCTAATTTACGACCATTGCATCGACGAAAAACGATGGGCTCATTTTAAATGACAGTAAAACTTGTAGTTTCTTTTATTGGTGCTACTTCTGTGCCTGAATAATTATGGGATAAAGGAATATTGGTGACACCGTTGCCTCTGTTGAACCAATTAAATTTTGAAATATGTAACCAAATGAATAAACGAATCGGTCGAAAAATACTTTGAATAAAATTATTGGTATTAGAATTGACCTTCAGGTTTGGCTTCAGTCATTTCTGAGGTAGCTTCATTTCAAAAAGACATTGCCTTTTGACTTGTCATTTCTCAAATGGAACAAATTTCTTTTATCAACTTATCCAACAGTAATTACTAATGTTTGTTTAAATGTGGGCGAATTTTTGTACGCGATTCTACGGAACACTGAATATTTCGGTGAAAAAAAAATTGAGCAGCTTATGTTCCACTATGATGGGACCCAACACGCTATTCGCACACATTCCTGTGAGTCCTGGTGAAAGTTCTTTGCATTTGTTTTCTGTGACATCATTTCATGAAAGTTGATGACAAATTTGCCCCGATTTGCAGCGATATATCAGAAATGTCAACTATTTTGAAAGCATTAAAATGAAGTTAAACTTAACATTAGTAGTTGAAATAGAACTGCAGTACCTTCAATTAAATAATGGTTTCCATTTTGGTAAGTTTTTTTTCACGAAAGTTAGTGTAGATGATAATAGTGATGGTAGTAAGGTTGGTATCTCTAGTATTTTAAGTATGGTCGAAAGAGTACATTTTCAGTAGTAGATGCAGCCGCTTAACCAAGGTCACCCGATGCAACATAGTAAAAAAATTTAGTAAATGTTAGAAGCTAGTAAGAAAGTAATCGTGGCATAGACAGCCATTTATAAAATATCTCCGTTGTTTTGATACGGTCTGCCCGTCTTTCATCTGGTTGCTTGACAGGTCGGTATCAGCAGTTTGGACGGAGGAGAAGACTGATCTGGTCACAATTGCTCTTCGTCTTGCTAACAAACATCTTCCCGCTTTATTCCTTAAAAAGTTTATTTAAAGTATTCGAATATTTTTAAATCTAACTTACTTGAGGAAGACGGGATTGCGGTGTGATCCACTTAATGACACGGCTTCTACAGTTTTGCCACGGGTTGTGAGTACTTTCTCGTTTGCACTCAATGTTTTATTGGACAGATGTGATTCCAGCTAAATTTGTAAATTTATAAGCTTACTTTGAGCACATGGTAAAATTATTTCGAGAAATATATTCACACTGCTCTGATTCGATCGAACCGTAAAAGGAGCCATACATTTTGAAACGAAAGTCCTACATTGAGAAAACGTTTGATTTTACTAGAATAGGTAGCTATTAAATTATTTTTGGGACAAATTACAGCTGGTATAGTTGACGTGGGTTTAGTATGGAGGTAGGATTCCCATTTAACACCAAGACGAGGTGCTGATTTTAAAGTACACCTTGTGTGTTTATAAAAGCAAACCAAACCCAACAAAGTAATGCAGTTTGAAAAGAGGAAAATAGCGGAATTCGGTTGAGAAGCTCCCGAAATGTTGAGGACTGGCCCAATCTAACTTGCGTGGTAAAAAGCGTTGGATCTTTTTCAAAATGGTAAAAGCTTAACTAAGCAGTGTACTCTGATAGGCAAACTAAAGATGCTATTGTTAAGATGTTTATTTGGAGTGTTACTTGCGTCGAATTAGAACCATAGTTGGTTTACTTTTGAGGAATCTCGTTACACAATGGTGTAGCAGGCTAAAGAATTTGACGGGTTCATTGCAAATTCCAGTAGATGTCTTTGAAAGTGATAAACATTAGAGTAAGTACTGCGGATTCTTCTAAATTTCGTGTTCGGTGCACACATTCAAATCGTGCTTGAAGTGATTTGACGCAATACCAAGCAAATTTAGCAAGTTCAATTATTTCATTTCACCGGGATTTTCAAATTTTCATGTTTAAATGCTATAATGCTTTACCTAAAATGCACCAAATTATAAATGAGCATCTGTGTGCCACTCCTCGATAAATAAACTAGCAAAATCGAGCACATGAAATCGAAGAGGTCTAACGCGCTTTTCATTCTTCTCGGAATGGCACATTAAACACGATAGAAGTATGCGATAAGTAGGTAAACTGTGGCGTTTGGGCACCTTACGCAAGAGTGTAAAATAAGCATGGAGCCACTATTCAGCACCTGATCTTGGCTAACTCTGATAAGTAAATTTTAACTCTGATTTAGGGTAATTCAGCAACTGAAAAGTGTTTTTTCTGAAATAAAAATAATCGCTAGAAAAGATACGTTTGACGAAGCACTACTGTGTGGTCATTCGTGTTGCCCTCAGGGATTGTCAAAACAACTTCGACGCTTCCCAATGGCCTAGATAGATTTCTCTTTCCCCCGAAAGACGAAGCAAGTGCGGTTTCAATGCTAAACCGTTGTTGTGTAGCTGATTTTGGTAAGTATTTCCCGGATTGATTGTGATCATTTTCAAGGTGAAATTGCAGTCTATCACCATGTGTCGGCTAGCAAAAGTATTTCAAAACCAAACATCTTACATAAGTAGTTCAATGTTTTTAGCTTTTAAAATACTTCCGACATTGTATCATTTGTGGAGTAAGCACAAAAGGTTTTTTAATTGCTAATACGTAAAAATGCATGTGGAGCATTGCTAATCAGAAGGCAAAAGTTGGGGAGTTGTGGAAATTTTCATTATATTTATGGTATATTTGCACATTTACTTTTAGCTAATACATTATCGTAAAACTAAAACTGCAAATAACCATTGGCTAAGTACCTAGAGGAGGTTTATTGAAATGCAGTGTTAAACGTGATTTAGACTATCAGTTTAGGCATTTGCGCATGATGCTCGCATCGTCTGTCTCCTGATCGGCCTTTCTAGTACTCCATTTTTCGGCTTCCCTTACCAACGACCTGATGTGTTCCAAAATTATTTTTGCCATCATTTTATGTCTTTCATTTTTAAGCACAATTTCACGGGTCTATATATGTCTATGACGGTTTCTTTTTTGTAGCACGTTTTCCAAGGTTTCCCTAGCATTATTAGTCTCACAGCCTGCTGCTTGACAAGATAGTGACATCTAGGGGTACGAACAAACAAAATA